ATTCTAGCCGATATATCTAATATTTCTTATTTTGAGATGGTTGTGCACTTATTATAAGACTGTTTAGCTTATTTATAGACATTTTTACCTGTATTAAGTAATTTTAAGTAAAATTATCAGATAAATTAGCTTGTTTAAAGCACATTACTTACAACAAGCAAAATTGTCTGCCAGTATAGTGAGATAATCTTACCAAAAAAAATCTTCAAACAAGTAAAAATGTTTGGAAATAAGTTAAATAATCTTTAACATAAGCTTACAACAATCTGAACAGGAGAAATATTGGATTTATCGACTAGATTTAGATTTAGAGATTTTAGTTTTACTTGACAAGATACTATGCAGTGTAGCTAAAACAGCAAACCTCATCCGAGCGTAACTACAGTCCAGTTTGGACTTCCATCATCAGTTTTGATTCCAAGCCCGTTTCTGACTACAGCAGATGTGGACTGTTCATTTGTTAAATTTCTTATCAAAATGACCCTTAAGTACAAGTTCAAAAAGTTATTAAGGCAGTACTGAAAGTTTTTGTCTTTGAGAGAGAGGAGAAAATCAAGCTCCACTCGGATCTGAAAAAATCCACAGGTGTTTCTGTCCATCCTTTCACTGTGAGAGGAAAACTCAGCGCTAGGGGTCTGAAAAGTTGTGTAGCCAATTGCTCACCAAACAAAGCCGCTGTTGTTTTCAGAAACAGAACAATGGACCGACCACCCCAGAGTCCAGACTCAACGTTACCAGAGTTACTTGGATTGTGAGAAGAAGAAAAAATGCAACCAACTTCTAAGACTGACCTTTGGAGGTGTAGAAGAATATTGCTGTAGGTTTGTTTAATAAACTGAAATAAACTGTCTCTAATAAATGATTGAAGAATAATAATGAGAATTAATTGTTGAGGCCGTCAATTTTGATTCATTTTGACGACCGCGAGAGCCGTCAGGAAGGCGGAGCCTGAGCCCCGAACGACGACGAAGCCCTGTAAGGACAGCACGAGTCCCAAGCGCATGAGTCTGGTCCCGCAGCAAGGCCACTTAGGTTTGCCTTACATGCTCGGGACTCGCTTCCCGCCTTTGTGCCTCTTGTGGCTGACGTCGTCTTCTCTCGCTCTCTGGTGGCTGACGTTGTCTTCCCCCGCTCTCTGGTGGCTGACGTCATCTTCCCTCGCTCTCTGGTGGCTGACGTCGTCTTCCCCCGCTCTCTGGTGGCTGACGTCGTCTTCCCCCGCTCTCTGGTGGCTGACGTCGTCTTCCCCCGCTCTCTGGTGGCTGATGTCGTCTTCCCTCGCTCTTTGGTGGCTGACGTCGTCCTCCCACTGTCACTTGTTTCCCTCGGCAGTATTTGGGATTTGAGCCCTGCCTTCCCGCCGGCTCTCGCAGACATCATCGGGGCTTGAGGGACGGGTGCAGGCCACATATGTGTTTTCTGCTTTTTTTTTCCTCACACTGAAAAACAAATAACTTGCACCTTACAGCTGTTTTGACTGGAGGTTAAATGAAGGCTGGTCTCTGACTTCTGCACAGTGCTGTGTATGTGGCAGGATGCCAAAAGGGAACTATGCTAAAGTGTGAAAAGTGAATATTGACAACCACGCTGGGACACACTCCCTGCATAGCGTATGAACGCAGCAGCCTGCCTCGGAGCTTTGAGTGACGTGATGGTGAGTGGCGCGTGAACAGCTAGAACATCAAAAGCATGAAGATGTATTGGTGCAGATGTTTCTAGAGACAAGGACGTCAGCAAGACTGAGTCTATCACTTTGATGCATTGAGTTCTTCTCAGTATGTACAGCATTGTGTGTTGAAGCTGCAATAAATCTCTCTTAAGCTGCGTAGATTTGTAGTTTATATAGAAATGATGCAGCTGTTTATCCAACCATTGTCAAATACATACCATCACAGCTTTCATCCGAACACTAGAAACTGTGACTAAAACTGAAGCTAAATAAAAACTAAGCTAAAACTCCTGCTTTTCAGAAAATAAAAACAAAATAAAACTATGAATGCACTCTTAAACTAAAACTAAATAAATAAATAAGAGCGAATGAACCCTGGTCTGCTGAGAGCATCTTGACCAATCACAGATGCTACTGTGGGAGTTTGGATGAATCAAAGCATGCATGATCCAGCAAACATAAATCTTTTGGTGGCCAATTTTTAAGCATGTCATCAAGGGTTTGCCAGTGTGTTCATATCACAATCGCAATATGGAGAAATATAATCACAGTATGATATTCCCTCTGTAATATGCAGCCCTGTACAGCACTGTACATGTAATTATTGCCCCTCGAGTTAAAAGAAGAAGCTGGTCATCTGTGTTGACGTACTCAAAATATGTGTCTTTGGAAACAATAACACTGAATTTATCATACAGTTGCAATGTTTTTGTTCACCTTGCATATTCCAGCCAATGTGCTCAGACGTTTACACACACTGAAGAATGCTTCCTCTGTTTGTTCTTTCTTAACAGCCATTTGTGGTGTATCTGCACCCAAAACCATAGAGTGCAGAAAGCCAGGCACACTGGAAACGGGAGTTTTGATAGTAATATATACGAGCAAAGCTTTTTCCTCTGCTTCAGCCTCAGCCTTCTGTTATTTTAGCTTGAGTCGAAATTGAGCGCAGTTGAACAGACTCAAGGTAACACTCCCATTAAAACGCCTCCCTCTGTGGACACGATTGTTTTTATGCCCTATAGAGCTGCCACACAGTACATACAGCCCAAGCAGCATGGTGCTTGTGGTATGGTTTAGGCTTCTCTGTTGATCTTGTGGGTTTTTATACCATTTGCTTTTGCCCTGTGTGCCTTAAAAATCAGTCGTGTATAAGCAGACATATAATATTGTGATTATATTGCTGCATATTACTGAAGTTATTGTACTGTATAGCGCAAGTTTATTATCACTAAGCCTGTGTGAATACAAATAAGACCACAGTCGCACATGAGGGATGACGCGGAGCAGAAAGTCAAAGTCAAGTCAAAGTGAACTTTATAGTCATTCAGACTATACAACAGAGTGCACAGCTGGACGAGATTGCGTTTCACCAACTCCTATGGGCAAAATATACATAAATATAACATAAAGGCAACTGTACATAGACATGCTAGACAGCATAGACAGACATAAAAACATATGTCTTGAATGAAAATATAATATATATATATATATATATGTATATCGCTGCTGTCTTAACAAAACCTTGTATCTCCAAAATGATAACCTTGCAGCAGAAAGATCTACTTTTAATGTAATTCAGTGGAACCAGACTTTTTTCAAAGCAATTTTGGGCTGTTTCTTTCGGTCCATTTATCATGAAATTTATACACAACGTAAAGGGCAACAAGCATTTTCAAATTATGTCAAAAACTGAAAAATGAAAAAATTGCACGTTGTATAGAAAAAATATTACACATTGTTCTCAGTAACCACTAGAAATATGAGCACCACTTTAAGTACCAGAATTTGGGACTTCAATGCTGTCTGTAATGCCAGCTGCAGTTTGAAGTTGGCTTGCTGAAAGAATAAGTCCAAAAAACTGCTCAACTGCGCTGATCTCTGAATTCAGAATATGAGGCACTCCTCTACTGTACCTACTGCTTTTGCTATATTTTACCTACATCCTTTGTTAAGAAATAACTGGATAAGTAAAATTCTTGTAAAATAACATTTAGCAAGATATTAAACTTACTTTTTAAAAATTTAACACCGGAAACATATCACTGCTGTCTGAACAAAACCTCACATTTTTCAGTTTTTGGCATAATTTGAAAATGCCTGTTGCTCTTTACATTGTGTGTGAATTTCATAATGAATGGACCCAAAACGACTTAGAAAAACGTCTGGTTCCATTGACTTACATTAAAAGTAAAGACTGTTTTTTCTTTCTCCTGTAAAGTCACCATTTTGGAGATACAAGCTTTTGTTCCAACAGCAGTGGTATGTGCACATGTGGGTTTTTCTCTTTTTTCATTATGCACACAAGCTACGGCTGTTACGGATGTTAAAATTCTGAACCTTTTTCTGTTATAACTACATGCTCAGACATTTTACTTACATCCTTGCCCTGCTGCATATGAAAACACAGCCTTTAACCCCTTAAAATCCCAGCCACATTACATACTAAGGCTTTTTATTCAGTAACTACAGGGACCTTAATGCAAACTGGTTGAGCTGTCCTTAGGTTTTAAACGTGTGTAATGAAACTTTTGGCCCATGGCCTGTTAAGGGGTTGATCTAACATGGTTATTGAAACAAGTGAAATAACATTAGCTTGCATTGAACAAAATGATTTACGTTCATTGACTTCATTCATCTAAACAGCAGTACAAAGTCGTCTGGATCATGTTAGGTTGGCCAGGCCGTCCACAACACACAAGAAAATGCATTGTTTAAGCCTCCGTTGCACATTACAATCCTCTTCAGTAGCATGATCGCAAAGGTCAATACTACAGTAATGATTAACAAACATTGTGCAGCTTTAGTGTAAATATGGAAGACACACACTGTGGAAGAGCTTAAGTGCTGTGCCCAAAGCCATGGTTAACATTCATCCACTTGAACTGAGGTGTTGCTTAAGTGCAGGTTTCGAAGTGAGCTGCTACATAATTCATCTACTGAGCAGGTTATGAGGGATGTGGAAGGTACTATATTGCGTAAGAATCGTTCTAAACCACAGTGCACACACATACTGTATAAACAGAGCACAAAAAGGCCTTTCTTCATGAGTGTGTCCAGGCTAGCCTCTCTGAACAGGCTTTGGACTCACCACAGCTCTGGGCAGGTACTCTGAGTATGGTCCCGGCTGACCGCTGCTGATTTTAAGGAACGCGGTGAAACTGTCACAGTTTCTACTACGACAGTGCCATGACAAACACGAGCGGAAAGCCCAATTTACGGTGTGAGCACAGCGCTCTAAACACCCATGTGATTTATCGATCTCGTTAGAGCTAGCAAAAGCCTCTTGGCCACTTCTTCGAAAACATACTTTTTTTCCTTCCCTCCGCAGCGAATGTGTTGGACACCATGTTGTTGAGGAATTCTGGGAAGGTGGCGATGGATAGCCGGAAGGAGGACAGTGGAAGCTCAGTGCCCGTGGTTCCTGAGAGGACGTTGTGGTGCCACTGCTACCACCACTGTCCAGAGGACTCCACCAATAACACCTGCAGGTTAGATCCAAACCCACTGTACTGTTTAATTTTAAAATCTGAATTTACTTGACTGAAATGTGTACATCTTTTGCACATTATTAACATATACAGTACTGTATGAAAGTCCAGGCAAAGTTCCAGGCAAAACAGCCATTAAGTCAAAGTGATTCACAATTCAGGAGATATTTCTGTGAAGATCAGATAAAAGATAATCCACTTGCAAAAAGAATGGCAAAGTCAAAGGAAACAAGTGAAAAACAGGAGATTTTTCCAAAACTCTAAAACTGGAGTTCAAAAATGTATTCAAAGAGAAAATGGGACAAGAACTGTGCAAGATCTGATAGACCACAAAAACTGTGCCCATCAGATAAACAGTGTTTAATGCTTCCAGCTTTGAAAGAATAAAGTCAAGCTCCACTCTTGCCTCAGATCTTAAAAATTCCACTGTGAAAAGGCATCTCAATGGTATGGGCCTGAAAGGATGTGCAGCTCTCAAGAGGTAGTTATTAAAAAAAAGGAAATTGCACCAGATCACAAAAACGGGACATCGGAGTTGTGTGTTTTATAGGCTGATTCCAAGTCTAAATTTGTAATATGAATTGCTTGGAAAGCAGTAAATGCAACAAGCGTCTAACCCTGCGCTCACACTGGCAGCGACGTGGCAAGGCGGCCGAAGGTCATTTAGTTTTCAATGAGAGCTGTCGTTTTCCAGCGACAGGAGGCAGTGCGAATGTTTGAGATGCGAAGTGGGTGGAGTCGGCAATGTGACAAAGTAGAGCGGAGTTTAACTTTATGCAAATAAGGAGCGAAGCGATGTGGTGATTACCAATAGGAATTGAGCATTCAGCAGCGTAGTACACGCTTTTGGAACAGTACGCTCTGTTTTTATTCCTAGATAATTGTTCCTACTAGAGATGGAATAATGGCAGTGGTGCTTCCACAAAGACCAAATACCGTTTTCCTCTCACAGACACAGGGATTGAATAAAAATAAGCACACAAGCAATTTAACACCAGGATTTTTAATTTTAGCAGAAACACGTCTGATTTGTTCTTGGCGTCAGTGAAACCATGGCAACCACCGGTCAATTGGGGTTCAGAAATGCCCACAGGCAGTAAGCGACCAGCGATTTGAGCGACAAGAGGAGAAAAGTCACTGCCGGTGTGACCACAGGGTTAGACTGAACTTTGGAGGTGTGCAGAAATATCCCTGCAGATTTCTTTGAAAAACTGAAAGCAGGTTCCTGAAAAGAATAGAAGCTGTAATACAGGCAGGCTTAATGAATAAATAAAAAAAATAATGATGGGTGGTCTCTGACATCTGCAGAGTACTATGTTACATCAGCATTTAATAAAACTGCGTCTGGAACTGATGTGCATATTTAAATCAAGTAAATTGAAAACACTGTTCAGTCTCCCAGTGACATCTTCAGGTTAGATCTGTACTCACTGCACTGACTATATTTCTGAATGCAGATGACTGTAGCCAGTCATCATTGGTCAGTTTCTGACCGCAGAGAAGGTTTTGGCTAGATATTTTTATACAGTGTCCTTCCCTCAATCTAAATAATATCTGTTTAAAATATCTGTGGTCACTGACCGACAGTTAATAAATGGGGTAGGTGGTGGCTGATAAACTGTGCAGCAACAGGTCTACAGTCTGTAATTGTGCACCTATATAGTGGACCTATAAGGTTGATGTACCTTAAAAAGTGGCCAGTCAGTGGAAACAGAAGTTTCTAATGTAGTAATTGATGAGTTATTACAATGTAATTTTACTGTTATAAGCATCTCATCTGCAGCACTTGCAAGCTTGTGCTTTTGTCCAGTTCTGTCAGTCTAGCTATAGCAGTTCATCCATGCCCATCAGGCATACAGTGATGCAGGCATGTACGGAATGCTAGTGTTGTGCCTCTCAGCCCTCAGTGATGCAAGACTGAAATTTAATTTAGTTCAGGCTCAGCTCTTTTAGCTACACTGTTGATGTCATCAGATCTGCAGGCCTAAAACAAGCCATCTGTTTCTAAGTCAGGTCAGTACTGTTACTAGGGATGATAATGACCGTTAACTGTGATGACATCTACAGAACGGATGGCTTCTGCTTCACTATGGTTGAGGAGGAAGATGGTGGTCCTCCTGTGCTCACCTCCGGCTGTTTGGGACTGGTGGGCTCCGAATTTCAGTGCAGGGTGAGGAAAAGCTCTAATCATTCGCTTTATCTCATCATTCTTGTGTTTTTTTCTTAGAGTAATTTAGCGATATTTGCATAATGAACGTTTGATTTATGTTCTGCATTATAAGGTTTGCATCTGCACTTCCAGTGTTTTCCTTTTGTTTCAGGAAAATCAGTGACAAAACTGGCTAAAATGTAAATGATAGTTTGTGTTTCAAGACAGTAATTTATGTCAAATTTAAAACAGAAGTGTTTCTACTTACAGTCACAAATGTGGTGTGGATTGTTGAGACTGTTGAGAAAGTTGAGCATTTTTAACTGAATGTCTCTGCTGGTTTCTGAGCCACGAGTGAGAAATAATTAATGTGAAATTATCACATGGCTTTGGTAATTATTTAACTGTGACTCCAAACAGGTAACAGCTGTATCTCAGTGCCCACACTGGTTGAAAATATGTGTGTAATTTAACCGGTGTTGTTCTCCAGGACACAGGAAACTCTCGTCTGAGGAGGGTTCTAGAGTGCTGTACTGATCAGGACTACTGTAACAGAGACCTCCACCCAACCCTGCCTCCACTCAACACGCCTAGTAAGACTTATCGTCCTCTATAATCCATCCAGTACCCAAGACATAAGCCCTATTTGAGCTCGATTGATTTTACCTGGGGAGGTAGTGCAATTTAAGTCATTACCAATGAGATCTGTGATTTTAATCCAGTGTGAATTTGCACTTTAGTTTGTTTAATCTGTAACTATTAGTCCTAGTCTAATCCACCTCATGCTTTTGGAATAACAACTTGTTAACAGACACGGCAGCATGATGTGTTGTTATTGTTATTGAGTGTGTCCTGTGACTGTTGTGCAGAATCCAGGCTATGACTTCTTAATCTGTGCTGTTTGTGAGAATTTGAAGAAATTACACACATACCTTATACTTGGCCAATCAAATCCCACAAAGTACATTATTGAATCTACTCTAAAACTAATCCAGCTCCAGTAGAACTATAGTCACAAACATAATCGCACATCATCACTATAAGATAATATCTAGCTCAGCTTGATTTTCAGTTCACAGCTTCTTTATCAGACTGCTACATTAAGAGTAGAGTGAGGATGGCCTGTGTTTGTCTGAGCCTGTGCACTGAGGTCTACCCTCCAAGTAAAGGTTCTCATCCTCTCCAGTCATTTAAATAGTAAGTCAAAGGCACATCCAGCCAACCCAACACAAGCTAGAAGATATCAATCATATTTTGTTTGTTTTGAGAAGCACTTCAGACACTGTTTCATAACTACACAAGACATTTGCTTAATGAGCCCCTCACACCATTATCTAAACAATATTAATTAAAACTGTATCTGAGTAATATCTCTGTGTCATTATTGTAGGAATGCAGTCCTCACACACACAGGCCTGCTTTGTGAGATCATGGGGTCATCTGTATTACACATTTCATTTAAGCTGGTTCATCATTTCTGCATTAATGAAATATGAACACGGTTGCCTAAACCTTTTAATGTCCTCACCAAGAAAAAAGTGATGGATTTAAAAAAAAAAATTATTTGTTTGGGGCAATAATAAAAACAATTGGTGCCTTTTTTCGTTTTTTTTGACCCCACAGTTTTTAAAATATTCATGTCTACCAAACAGTCGGCATATGTAGTGACTCAAAATGTGCTCTACCAAACGGTTGAGCAGAACATTGAAGGGCTAAGTAAGTAAAGACAATTGTGTTGATATGTTTCTTTTTTATTCACATGTAAATTATGTACACATTTGAATCAAGCAGATTCAGTGCATCACTTCTTTCAGTGTATTTACAGTACTGTGCAAAAGTTTTAGACATCTGAGAAATGATATGTAAAGCTATTTATTTATATTTATTTTGGCAGTAAATGTTTATGTGTTTGCACTGACATTAGAATAAATACAAATAAACAACTATTTAGCTCAAGCATTTCCAGAGTTCTCCTCGAGGAAATTGAGTATTTATAGTTATCATTCTAGTGAGCTGCTGATGGATTTTGTCAAATCCATGAAATGACTAGAGTTCATCAAGAATTCAGGAACCAAACCTGTTTGTTATTGTATTTTTCTATCCAAAATACTCATAGCTTTTTAAGAAATAAAGGTTTTAAACAGGTTTTACTATTTATTTCCTCAGTACTGCAGTGTTATATGGTTTATTTATGGGCACAAACATATGAGGGCTGGAAAGAACAAAATTAACTGCTAAAAAGTGAAACTGATAAAATATTTCTCTCCGTGAATCACGACACTACGGAGCCCTGCTGGTGACATCTTGTATAATGATATAATGATCTTGTATAATGTGTAAAAATAATGCGTGGTCATGACTTAGTAAGGCGTGGGAATGAGAAAAAGCTTTGACCACAGCTTAATAAGGTATGATCTTGTTCTCACACCTGATTAAGTCGTGGCCATGACATAATTATCTTATTTCCACACCTTACTAAGTCATGGCCGTGCATTAGGATTTCAGCCATGCATTGTTTTTATTTATATAACATGTCACCAGCAGGGCTCCGTACGCCACACTGCTGCTGCAGTCTACACGTGCTTTATGGTGCTTACTTTTAACTGTTGATGAATTTATTCCAAATAATGGTTGATTTTACAAAATCAAATATCTTTTTCACCCAGAATTAATTTTTATTGACTCTATTTTAATATGCATACATTTATGTCTCCCCATTTTAGTTTTTCTTAAATCCACTCCTCATACAAACACACTTTATACACCCAGATAAACAGTTTTAAACAATTCTCATCGCTGCCTAAGATGTTTGCACATTGCTATACAGATCTATAGTATTAAAATGTAGTAAGAATTACGCTAGCCTAACTCTAAACCTTAACCTCAGTAACCGAAAAGAAAAGTTTTACTGTGTCAGTTGTAAAAAAGTGAAACATACAGCTTTCGTAAAAAGCACTTCACAAAGTCACGACTGTTATATGGGCCCTAACGTTGTAGGTTAACCCTGTGTTTCTGACCATCTTTGTTCTGAAAATATAGAAAAACAAACACCCACGTACACACGCTGCAGTGGGATGATGCTGAAACCTACTCCCCTTCCTCTGTGTGAGTAGCTCAGAGGAGCGCTGCTGTACAGCTCATGGCTGATGGTTTGTGACAGTTTAAAGCGCTACAAACCGCACGTTTTAGGCCGGCCTGAGTGGGGGTCCGAGGCGGGGGGAGCAGGTGAAGCAGAGCTGGCGGCCTTTGCTTGTTCTCTCACTCTCTAATGAAAAGGACAGCCAGACTCAGGGGAGTGCTTGGGTTTCCAGCCTCAGCAGCAAGCAGCTATCTGTCCATCTGTCACACTGCAAGACATCCCACCTCTCACATTCAGACTGTGCGTGTGGGGGGGTGTGGGGAGGAGTGGTGTGTGGGAGCGTGAGGGTGTACTGTTTCTGTAATAATGACACTGGAGACATGGGGACAAATTAATTACTCTGTTAGAAAGACAACTTCCTTCCTTAACACAGTCTTACAAGTAGCTTCTCTTCCTCACAGCCAGACTGGCTAAGAGTAAAGTCAAGTGGATGCTGGTTGTCAGTGTGGGTTAGAGTCTGTGCACTGGAGTGTGTCAGAGTGTGTGTGTGTGTGTGTTTGTCTGTGCTGAAGTGTGCTTCTGTGTGACTCACAGTGTGTGCTGCAGGTGTGTGTGTGTGTGTGGATCAGGCTAGAGTTTGGCAGTAAGGTTAGAGTCCCAGAGAGAACAGTACAGCCCTGGGCTTTCAATGGTGTCGTCAATCAGCAACCTGATCAGAGCGCAGCAGGAAGGGGATGTGATCGATCACGACTCAGTTTCCCCCTCCACACGTACACACACCCACAGGGCAGCTCAGCTCTGCAAGGGCCCGCAGAGCAGGAGAGGAGAAGAATGGAATAGATTAGAACAGAATAGAACATGAGAGAACAGAACAGTGTAGATAGAATAGAATAGTACTGAAAAGAAAAGAATAGAACATGACAGAATATAACAAAGCATGAATCGAATATTAATAAATAGAATAATAACAAATAATAGAATATCTCAATAGAATAGAATAGAATAGGAGACAAGTTAACTATGCAGACAGATTATAATGTAACTGAATACAATATAATACAATAGAATGGAACATGGCAGCACAAAATAGAATCAAGAATAGAACAGAACAGAATGTGTTGAATATCACTCAACACGCCCAGTAAGGCTTCTCATCCTCTCTAATTCAGTAGCAAGATATAAGCCCTATTTGAGCTGGATTAGCTTTACCTCGGGGGTGCTGTAATTTTTACGTGATTAACAGCAAGATCCGTGATTTTAATCCAGTGCGAATTTGCACTTTCGTTTGTTCCATTTATTGCGACTAAATGAATCGGAGTCCACTCAGTAGTATTAGTCCTTATCCGATTCATCTCATGCTTTTGGAATAACAAAACTTGCTAACAGACATGGCAGCATGACGTGTTGTTATTGTTATCGAGTGTGTCCAGCGACTATAGAGAATCCAGAATATGACCTTTCAGTCTGTACTATCTGTGGAAATTTGAAGAAATTACACACATATACTGGGCCAATCAAATCCCACAAATCACATTATGGAATCTACTCTGGTAAAACTAATCCAGCTCCAGTAGAGCTATAGTCACAAACATAATCACACATCCCTACACATCACTCATTACTATAAGATTACATCTAGCTCAGCTTGATTCACAGCTGCTTTATCAGACTGCTACAATAACTAATAACTAAGAGTAGAGTGAGGATGGCCTGTGTTTGCCTGAGGTTGCACTGGAGTCTACACTCCGAGTAAAGTTTCTCATCCTCTCCAGTCTTTTAAACAGTAAGTCAAAGGCACAACCAGCCAACTCAATACGAGCTAGAAAAAATCAGTATTTTGCTTGTTTGTTTTGAGAAGCACATTGTTTCATAACTACACCGGACATTTGCTTAATGAGCCCCTCACGCCGTTATCTAAACAATATTAATTAACACTGTATCTGAGTAATATCTCTGTGTCATTACTGTAGAGATACAGTCCTCACACTCCCAGGCCTGCTTTTTGAGATCATGGGGTCATCTGTATTACATGCTTCATTTAAGCTGGTTCATCATTTCTGCATTAATGAAATATGACCACAGTTATTTTAAGTAAGTAAAGACAGTTGTGTTGATATTTTTTAATTAATGTGTACAGACAGAAAAGAATGTTACTGAATAGACTTGAATAGAATACAGTAGAATAGAATGTGACAGTAGAGTAGAACAGATGGAATGGAATATTACTGAATGCAATTTAATGGAACAGTGTAGATGGATTAGAATAGAATAGAACAGTGCAGACAGAATAGAATAGAACTGAATAGGTTACAGTAGAACAGAATAGAACTCTGCAGCACCAAATGCAACGCAAGAACAGAGCAGAGTAGAACAGTACGGAACAGAACACAACAGCACAGAATGAAAGAGAGAACAATAAAGTGTAATAGAGAGTAAAACAGAACAGTTCAGGATAGAATATAATGGAGTAAAACAGGAGAAAAGAACAGACTGTTGTACAACAAAACAGATCAGAATAGAATAATCTTAGAAAAGCAAACCTTGTAAGTCTAATGTAGAGACTGAGGTAGGTTGCAGTGCAAAGTGACTTTATTAGGGGTTTTCTGATACTCATTGTTGTAGCAAGCAGGGGTCAACACACAGGCAAGCAGGAAAAGATGCAGATCCATACTCAGAAACGAGAGTAGAGACCAGCAGGGGTCCATGAAAAACACAGCTCAGAACTCAGGTGACGAACACAGACGCTTCACAAACTCACTGTGAAAACAAAGGGCTATAAGTAGCGGTCTTAATGAGATCAACACGAGTTGCAGATGTCGGAGTGGAGGAGCCAGGAAGAGTCCAAGTCAGTCTCCCAAGAGAGGGGCAGGTCATGACATCATGATAAACTAACAGTCATCTCCTAATATTTCAGGCGTTTTTTAACGAGCTGTTTTTCTCTCCACTCTGCAGAGTATGTGGACAGCAGCATCCACCACATGGCTCTGTTCATCTCTGTAACAGTGTGCAGCATTGTCCTCGTCCTCATCATCGTGTTCTGTTACTTCAGGTAAATGCTGGTCTACACCTCACACATGTTTAGCAGAATAGCTAATGAATACTCTAGATTAGGAATATTCCAGGTGTTCTACACTAGATTAGGTGGGGGCTCTTGAGGTATTTAGTTCATTATGAAAAGATTTTCGAGAAGAGCACAAATTGAATGATATTATGGTATAATTATATATTTTGAATTATTCTTGTCTTGATTTTTAAATACGAGTCATTCTAATGTTAATTTTGTTAGTTTTAAGTGTTTTACTCTATAGTCATAAAAATGTATCCACAATGCCGTTTTTTGTTTACAGACTCCTACTGTTTTATAAAAATGTTTATTTTTATTTATATTTTTGTTTTTACTTTTATTTCTCTTGTACTTTAACTTATGGCTAGATTTATTTCTATTTTCTATTTTTCTGCATAGTATATGTAAGTTTATGTGCAGTTATATGTCTTGCTACTGAAACACTGCAATTTCCCCTCCGGGATCAATAAAGATCTATCTATCTGTCTGTCTGTCTGTCTGTCTGTCTGTCTGAAACCCATGAAGTTAGAGTACTAGTTTTATCTTAGAATCATTTTAAACATGTATCTGCACCAAAATGGATACACTATTGACTTTTAAACAGTGAGTCCAAACTTCTGAATGACACTGTACGTGTTTTTGTGTGTGCTAGGTACAAGCGGCAGGAGCTGAGGCCCCGCTACAGTATGGGTCTGGAGCAGGACGAGATGTATATCCCCCCAGGAGAGTCTCTGAAGGACTTGATCGAGCAGTCGCAAAGCTCTGGCAGTGGCTCAGGGCTCCCCCTACTGGTGAGACAGAGAAACTACACGTGCACCTCACAGCTGTGACTCCCTCTGTGATGATTCTTGTCTGGTTGGCTGGTGTTTTCTTGTCGGTTGCTCTGCTGTTTACTCACACCTCTTTGAACACGCTAAAAGAGGTGCCATCTTGACTGCAATAATAGCTGTTAATTGAGTTTAATCCACCATCTTACCTGCGAGACTCGGCCTGTTCTCGGCTCCGCAGGTGCAGCGCACCATAGCTAAGCAGATCCAGATGGTGAAGCAGATCGGGAAGGGCCGCTACGGGGAGGTGTGGATGGGCCGCTGGAGGGGAGAGAGGGTGGCCGTGAAGGTCTTCTTCACCACTGAGGAGGCCAGCTGGTTCAGAGAGACTGAAATCTACCAGACAGTTCTCATGAGGCATGAGAACATACTGGGTGAGTAATAGCACCATAGAATATCATATTAAAGGTACACTGTGATTTTACAACAATATAATGGCAACCATTTTACAGGAATAACAGGAAACTTGACTCTTTAAACTCTAAACTTATTATTCAGTTATTATTCTTTACACGTATTCTTCAATAACTACCATTAACAATTTGGTAACTAGTTTAATATGTCATTTTCAAGACTTGAGAAACTGAATTGTGGACCCACTAAAAGGATCCTTAAGATGACTTTACATGGTGAAACTTTCATGCAGTGCAAGTTGCATGCAACATAATTTCTGTGCAACCTGCCAGATACAGAAAGCAATTAAAAAACACAAGGTGCATGCAACACATTTGATTACTCCACTAGCTAACCAAAGCTGCATCAAAGTTTCATCATGTAAAGCCAGCTCTAGAGTTAAAGGGGTTAATTTGGAGTTTATAGACAGCTCACATGGTCACTACCTGGAAAAACTATGTTACGTGTTTAAAATGAGAATGCTTGAACACTTGGTGTCGATGGAGTTGAACATATGTTCTCCTGAGATGTGAAAAGCTATTGTACTTATTGTTGCTGTCCAAAGAAAAACATATGTCTCCAAAATAGTAACTTTACACAAGAAGGCAAGAATGAAGTTTTACTGCAAGTTAATGTAAATTTTCGGTGATTTTGGAGCATTTCTGTTGATCAAATCATGATAACTGGACCAATAGAATGAGAATGAGACAATGAGACAGCAGTTTTAAAAACCTCACTGTGGCTTTAAAGAACTCCAATAAATTTCTTTCATGTTTCACTTCTTCAGTCTGCAGCATGCAGGCTTCGTCTCATTGGACTCACTGTGCTGCTCAGCTCAGCGCTGGGTATCATTAAGACAGATGTAGCTCAGCGTCTTCATTGTGAATCGCGGTCAGTTGTGACATATGGATCTGCTGGAGTAAGTTGCACCTCATGGCTGCGCATCTGTTCCTCAGGCTTCATCGCAGCAGACATTAAGGGCACGGGTTCCTGGACGCAGCTTTACCTGATCACGGATTACCACGAGAGCGGCTCGCTCTATGACTACCTCAAGTCCACCACGCTGGACACACGGGCGCTGCTGCGGCTGGCCTACTCGGCCGTCTCGGGCCTCTGCCACCTGCACACGGAAATCTTTGGCACTCAGGGCAAACCGGCCATCGCCCACCGTGACCTCAAGAGCAAGAACATCCTGGTGAAGAATAACGGCACTTGCTGCATCGCTGACCTCGGCCTGGCCGTCAAGTTCATCAGGTACACTGGAAGCATCAGGGTTTCACCTGATAGCTTTACAACAGGCACAACAGGGACAACCTTGTCGTCCTTGTCCTTTTATCATAGATTGTCTTTACTAGCATTTATTATTAGGTCTAGCCTAACTAGCTTCAGTCTGGAACTTAAATGGGAATTCAAACTAAATTTTTATTTTAATTTAATTGTTTAGATTTAAACAAAGTCATTCGATGTGTTTTGATGTGAAACTGTGGATAATTTTTTATGTAAGAGAAGAGTTTTTATGTAATGATAATGGTAAAATAGTGGTAAACTTAAAAAATACATTTTCTTTGAACATTATTGTGCCTTACAACGTTCTGCATGTATTATAAAAAAAAAAGTTTTTACATTTTATTTAACTTAAAACTCTTTATTTACTTTTTACTTAATTTACTCTTTATTTGTGTCCAAACTGGTACTGTTTTATTATGTTCTCATTCAATGTTTTTCATTTATTTTTTATTATTTTCTACGTTGTAGATTAACACTGAAGGCATAAAAACTATGAAGGAACACTTATGGAATTATGTAGTAAACAAAAAGGTGTTAAACAGACCAGAAAGTGTTTAGTTCTTTGCTTCTTCAAAGTAGCCTCCTTTTGGTTCATTGACACACTTTTGACAGGTACTGTACATCTTACTGATTTTATTACGCAGGCCTTTTTAATAATCGGTGGAATTCCCCTTTAAGGCCTCCTTAGTTTTGTAAAAGGATATGTTTTTATGGAAAATCTGACTATGTTTTGGGTTCCATTGTGTTGCTGTTTAAAATAACTGAATATTGATCAATATTATAAAAATATAATTGAAGTGGTTCTCTTGATGAAGCTTTCAGAGGCATTAAATTCTTCTGATATCTGGTTCCTGTCACCACCACTGTGAACAGTTTTGACTCTGTAGTGACATATTTCACTTAAAAACACTGAATGACTTCATGTACAGTATCAGTCAAAGGTTTTTTGACAGTGATAAAGCATTGATCTTTGACCAGATTCTGTGGGCATTGTCAGCTTTCGTTTTCAGGCATCAGAATGTCTGTGTGCTCTGACTCTGCAATGAAAAACAGATATAATTTCCACGTCTCTGATCTGAATGTCATTGAGCCTGGCTTTTTACTGCCACACTGGAGCTGCACCCAATAAATATTCCACTGCTGATGCGCGAGGCTATAAAACACACTGCAAACAGCCAATTCTTTACACCGTGAATCCAAAACGCCTCTATTTTCAGATAAAGTCGCCACTGAGACGTCAGTAAAGCCCAGTTACAGATCACTCCAGTGCATTCAGGGCTTCTCAGGGAAGCTTCAGTAGTTTTGACACATTTCAAGCCCCAAATCCTTCTCAGTCAGATCAGCTGAACTTGTTCTCTGTTTGTGCTTTTGCTATGTTGCTTCAACATGACTTAGTTTTGCTTCTGGCCGGCAGTGACACGAACGAGGTGGACATCCCTCCAAATACACGAGTGGGCACCAAGCGCTACATGCCCCCGGAGGTGCTAGACGAGACCCTGAATCGCAACCATTTCCAGTCCTACATCATGGCCGACATGTACAGCTTTGGGCTGATCCTGTGGGAGATCGCCAGGAGATGCGTGTCAGGAGGTCAGTAAGAGTCCGTGGTCAGGAAGAATGAGTGTAGTGGTCTGTATAAGTGATCATGATATAAAATGATCATGTTTTTATATTACAGATATTACTTTACATCATCACTAATTTCATTAAGGTTTACTGGCTGTGCACTCCTGGTCAAATGACATTTTCTGTTTATTTTCTTAGTACAAAAAGCTAACGGCCATTTTTCTGCACAATTTCTATTAATTTGATGAATTTATCATTAAAAATAACTATAAAGTGTGGCATGTACAAAAGTTTGGGCGCATGTGACAATTTGTGTTGAATTTCTTTACTCTGTTAAATTTAGCAGATAGAAACTGCATTTCAAAAAACAGCATTTCAGAAACGTTGCTTCAACATGACTTTGTTTTGCTACCGGCTGGCAGTGACACAAACGAGGTGGACATCCCTTCAAACACATGGGTGGTCACTGAGTGCTACATGCCCCCAGAAGTGGGAGAATTTGGCTAGGGGTGCCCACACTTCTGCATATTTGTTCACTGTCCGTTCCATGCCATGTCCTCCTGGCATTTTGTAAGATGTGACCATTCCAAATATGAATGTGACACCATAAAAATATCAAGCCGTATTGTCATGTTGTCAAAACATGTTTCTGTTTTTTTAAGTAACATTTTAAAACAGGTTTGAACTGCATTTCAAAATGTTCTGTTCAACAGTTCAATAACACGACTTCTTTATGTTACAATATGAATTAGGAATGAATAACTATGACAGGGGTGTCCAGTCTTATCCACAGAGGGCCGGTGTGGCTGCAGGTTTACCCTCCAACAAAGCAGGAGGTCACCTGATGAAATGTTTGAAGACTAAGACCAACTGATTAAACAGGTGGAGTCAGATGTGCTTCAGCTTGTTTGGAGTGAAAACCTGCAGCCACACCGGCCCGTTTGTGGATTGGACACCCCTGAACTATGAATTATTAAAAACAATGCAGTTTGCCTTTACATGGACATAAATATATGTATATTCCTGTAGGAATTGTGGAGGAGTATCAGTTGCCTTACCATGACCTAGTGCCCACAGACCCGTCCTACGAGGATATGAGGGAGGTGGTGTGTATAAAGAGACAGCGGCCTTCTTTCGCCAATCGCTGGACCAGCGATGAGGTACTTATTACTGTTTATACATGCAAAGACTTTATACACGTTGACTACTGTGAATTTTGCTAACGATTATCAAACATTAGCAAGCAGCTGATTTACTGTAGCCCAGCTGTGTCTCTGAAACATGCGTAGTTTAGTTCCAACCCTAATCCAGCATTATGGATAATTTAAATTATGCATGAGGATCTTCAAGAGCAGACACTGGGCTGTTACTATACCTCTACATTAACCTATCAGAATGAAGCATTGAATGGACTTATCAGATGTGCACTAGTTGTACAAGCATTCTCAGATTCAGTCAGTCATGTAAACATAAAATCATAAAAAACAGTAATTCAGTAACTCAACAAAGACTGGATCTGGGTTATATAAGTCATTTTAAACTCTATTACATTTGACACTACATTTGTATCAACATTACATTCTTGTTCTTCAGTGGGTTTATTGGCAGGTTGGGAAGCAATGTTTAACTGAAATCCCATTATTGACTGATTGGCATAAACCTGCAGTTTTCCCAGTATCACATGACTCGGTGCATGTAACCATGTTGGATGATTTTCAGCCAAATCTTTTACCAGATTATTTTGTACATGTAAACATACTCATTGATTGTCCTGTGTGTGTGTGTGTGTGTGTGTGTGTGTGCAGTGTCTGAGGCAGATGGGAAAGTTGATGACTGAATGCTGGGCACACAACCCAGCCTCACGCCTCACTGCCCTGAGGGTGAAGAAGACTCTGGCCAAGATGTCCGAGTCACAGGACATTAAGCTGTGAGGGAGGCCCACGGCAGCTCTGAGAGAGAGGCAGCTCCAGCCCCGACCCCGACGCAGCGCAGATAGAGACAGTCTGCTGAGGGACTCCTCTGAGACGAGACGAGACGAGTGAGGCCCGGGGCTTCATCCTGCTTTCTGTGAAAGCTCCCCAGCCAGCAGAGAGGAGAGGCGCACCGGAGGAGAGAGTGTGCCCCCTGCTGGTGCCTGCGTGACCCTCCTCACAGGCTAACATGAAGGACAGAGTGGGGAGGGAACACTAGCCATCACCTAAAGCCATTAATTTGATGTCAGACCTTTCTGTTGCCTCATGTAATGGTCTTCTTGGCTTTTTGTTTTTTAATCTAATGCTGTTCCACCATTTTCCCTCCAAGGGAAGACACATTTTGGTTATGGCTCCATTGAAAAATGAAAGCTACTTTGTTAAATATGGTCTCAGAATGTTATAATCAGCAAAACAGCAACACAGCATTGACTTCTGGTTGTTGAACTGAATAGTGTAGGATATTTCCTCCTGCCGTAATGCCGTCCCTTTCTTACATTAATGTGTGGAACGTTATTATTTGGATTGTTTATGAAGGTAAAGGTGGGATGATGCAGACGTGTGACAGAAACCTACTGGAGGCATTTTATTACTTTCAGGCCATTCGTGTTTGCCTTGTACATACTTGTAACCCAAAATATGAATGTAAATAGTAATACTGAAATGTAATTATGGATTAAGTAAAATGTTTTTCTTGTGTTTCCTGACCGTTTCCATTTTTGCTCGTGCCTTATTTAACATGTACTTGTTTTAATATGTGAGGTTACAGTAACACCTGTCTGTAAATGGCGTGAACGAATGGTCTCCTAAGGTTGTATGTATCAGGTTAACATTCCCCCCCCCTAATAAAAAGGCTTCAAGTCCTACTTGCTGTGTCCTTGCCTGCAACTTCAAAGCAGGAATATGCTTCCAGATCAAAACAGTACAAGTTTTGACGATCAAAAAGACTTTGGTATGGCTGTTGACTGCTTATTTTCCCTCAGTAGCACAAGCAATTATCATCAACATAAATAACCATAACCAGCAGCTGCATAATGTGCTGTAAAATATAAAATAGGAAGAAAGATTAAACCACAGCATTAGGCCAGGTGGTCAGAGGAATCCTCCCCCTCCCTGAGGTCCATTTATGAAATTTGTGTGAAATTATGTACCAAAACATTAATAATTTTTTATATGGCCATTTTCCAACCTCTCTACCTCTCTTTATCCCTCAAAATTAAACAGGCTGCCTTTTTACTGCGCCTCTAAGACTGAGATATATGCAAACAACCTCTGTTCTCATTGGCTGCCCTTTATTGCACTCCCGTGCCGGCTGAAACACTCTTTGTAAGTTCCAGTGTGAGTGGGCGGGGCTAAACTGCTGTACATTGAATAGATGAATATATGTTTGTTATCGTGACAAAATTCAAAATGGTGAAGCTTAGTTTCCATATATGGACCATATAGACTGGAGAGTAAATGGTACAGTTTGAAACTTGTATACTATAACTTTTGTTGAAAAAAAAAATAAGGAAAAAATCATTCTTTCATCATATGAGCCCTTTAAAATAAAATCATAAATACCTGTGATCAAAAACTGCTGCCGGTGTTCATAGAAGGAACGCAGTGGTGTGAAATCTTGGCTTAATTTTGTGGCAGTTGCAGATTTATCTGGAACTGTTCAGCGTAATAAAATTACATAATCGTATTTATTTAAAAGATTTCACTTGAAAGCAGCTCTGCATGTTCAAAATAATGCCTTAATTTCAAAGCGTGCTGCTGGGTTGATTGGTGTGTAGAACAAAACGTCCACTGCAGTGCTAAAACTGTCAGATTTGTGCACAGAATAGTACAGACCCAACCAACTGGAGCAGTCCTGATTCATTTGACAAGGCATCATTTGGTCAGGGGGCCATAGTAGGTGGGGCATGAAGACGTGGGATAAAATTTCCAATCAAAAAATAAATAAATGATTTCTTCCAGTGTCATTCGCAATATGTCCAGTGCATAGAGTGATACTTTAAAAGGATAGCAACAATAAAATGTGGCATCATAAATAAACACATCCCTTTATATCTTCAGGATAGACGATACGTATCACAATATTTTGACAGAATGTGCTGGTGGTGGTGTCACAGTTAAAAACTGCCATCAAAAACTTTCAATACAGTGAATAACATTTCATATTCTGTGCTGCACTAAATCCAGTTAAACAGCAATAACTTTACTGTCTTTATAATAAACCATGCAGGTGTTCAGTGTCTCCACAATCCGCTCAGAAGTGTATATCGTGCATGATAATAAAAAAAAAATATCCTGATAATGATAAACTACTGTATTATAATAATAATTCTATATGATCAAAACAAGCAAATTGAGGCCCGAGTTCAGTGTTGCATATAAATATAATTTATTTCTTGTTTAAAAATTCTTTCTTACATTTTGTACAGAAACTTCACAGAGGAGATGCAAGCTTTTGCAAATTACATCATGAACGTGCCATAAAAGAATAGGTAACATCCTCACTATAAATATAATATTCATAGCTATGGGAACTATGGAATGCAACTGCTAGCGCTTTTTTATGCAATGTACAATTTGTTTATAAAGGATGCAGAAGTTGCATAGACAGCTTTAGAAATTTTGACAACTTGTACAAGAGAAAAATAAAAGGTGGCCAAAAAAAAAACCCAAAAAACTGAGACAGTGCTGATAACTGCAAAATACACTGAGATGGGACAGTTGCTTTGTAGAGGGATCCGGCAGAACTATCGTACATGCATCCATCTGCTTTCTCATGAAACAGCTCTTTAATGTACAGCAGCTCTGTCTCGAACGGTCCACTAATCTGCTCTGCTTCAGAACTGATTTTCCCTCGTCCTGCATCCCAAAATCTGCAAGTATAAATGTCTTCTCCACACCTTCTATATGGCTCTCGTCTTTTAAGATCATAGAAATGCACAGGCCTCAAACAAGCAGTGCAGAGTCACCACTGCCACGAGACAAAGCTCTAGATTAGATGCACACAGGTCAGCGTCGCCGATGTCTACAGGTGCCGCAGTATCAAAAAGAGCAAAGCGCATGGCTGGACGGTTCCTCTGGAACTGGGTCAAAACCAAACCCCGTGGGATGAGGCGATGGGCGCGAGTTTCTCTGTCCACTGCATGATTTCCTGAAGTCGTCACCAGCCACATACATCCATGAAATGACATGTTCAACAGCCGACTGTGAGAGCCAGAAATACAGAACACAGCCCGAAACGGTGGAGAAACGTTTACAAAAACTCCTGACAGCACGACCTTGCTAAAAAATATTTGGTTCCTATTTTTTTTTATGTCTCTAAATTTTGTGATTAAATACAGATCACAATGCAACCGAATGCAATTAATAAGAAAATAATAACAGAAATCATATATCAATAACACTGTTAAGCTTTACAGTTACAATGTCTTTGAACGCATATTTACAGGCTGCATATTTTGCAAAATGTGTAGTTGGACAGAACGTCCACTAGGTGGCACTGTAAAAAAATTAAAATTAGACTGGAGTCACATAAAGGGTTAAAAAAGTAGAAAAATGGTAGGAGAAAAAAAAGTGATACATAATGGGCATAATAATAAATGAGTATAAATAATGGCATCATTAAATATTTCATCATAAAAGGAACTTTATCAACATCAGATCAATTTGAAGGGGAAAGCGTAAGGACTGACACGGGTTGATGGCACTCGTGGGTTTGGATGTGATGGGGCGTTTGATTCTTCCTCTCTGGGGCTCTGCCTACTCTCCTGCCTAGCACTGATTATCCTACACGTCAGAAAAAAGTGGAGTAGGTCCAATATCTGGACAGCAGAAGTCACGCGTTTCCTAAGAAACTGATTTGACAAATACAGAAACAAAAAAAGAAAGAAAATAAAGACTGTACTAGGAATCGTACAGACAGGGCTTAAAGTACGATGTCCTTAATTTTCTCCTTTTTTCCGTTCCTCTAGATTTTGGCCATTCGAGTTGATTCCTTTAATATGTTGAAATGGGAAAGAAACCGTTTGTCTGTAAGTAGCTGGTCACTTCCTGTCATGGGCTGCCCGTGGAGGAGCTGGGTGGGATAGCCGTTGTGTCACAGTGCCTGCTGCGGCCCACCGTGCCGCTGCAATCTCTGGCCGATGTTCCGGGCCGATGCTCTTCTCCCCATGATGTATCCGTCGCGCTTCCAAGGGACGTCCTGCTCTCGCCTCGGTGGATAGGTGTCAGTGCTCGGTTGCCATGGGCACGATGTTCTCATGGCGACCCATTTCCTCCAGTACAGCAGCCAGTCGGTTCAGGTTACCGTCAGGGAAGTGCTGCGCCTCCCACAGGTCCAAAATCACACCGGTCGGACTGGACTTGGTGGCAAAGTAGTTCAGATACCTGAGAGAAAGAGAAAAAGGTGGAACGAGAAGGAGGAGAAAAGGATACAGGAAGAAGAAGAGACACACATGAACGGCTGCTCTTTAATAGCAGGTAAGCGACAGCCTTTTAATCAAAAACAGTCTCAAAAAGCAATTTTTTCCACTATAATTACTGTATTACGGTATAATTCAGTTTCATCATCTATTCCTCCATTTTGATCGTGGCGCGGTCGTTCCACCATTAGAGGACCGAGTGGGGAGAAACGAGAGCGGGAGAGGGGAGAAGATTGAGGAGCAGGGGGGAGGCTGTGGCAGATAGGGGGGAGAGATGTGGGGCAAACAGATAGAGAAAGAGCAGGAGAGAGAGAGAGAAGAGAGGGAGGGCATCCAAAGCCTTCCGTAACACATCCCCCCGCGCGCTCCCCCACCCCCCCCACCGCTGGCCCAGGCTCCTGCTGCTGCAGCAGATAAGGCGTCCCCCGCTGAGATGTGAACTCAATAACTGAAAACACAGTTTGCACTTCTCACACAAGCTGTCAAACACTGAGAAGCGGCAGCAAAAAGAGGGAGAAGATCCGTGCTAGCGGGACCCGCCGCCACCGCCGCCTCGAACCCCATCCCTTTCTTCCTCTGTCACGCTCTCTTGCATTCTCTCTCTCTCTTAGCTCTCCTAAAAAACATCTTCTGAATGACCAAAGCCTGGCCCAGGCCACCACTGTCCTGCTTCATATTCAGCTTTAGCTGCAGGAGAGAGGAGGAGCTTTGTTGTGCTTTTGGGATTGGCTTTTGCCAAGAGGGACCCCAGAGAGAGCGTCCGCAGAGGAGCCTGGATGCTGACAAGTTAATTGCGGCTCACCTGTCCAGGTTGAGTTTGTGTGCCAGCATCCTCCAGTCGTTTCCCCGAGTCTGAGGGGCGTCCAGACTGCTGCACAGCTTCTGTCGGATGGACAGAGGGATGCGGAAGGCGTTTGGCCCTACCAAGGTGGTGATGTTGCTGGCTGGGTCCAGCAGAGAGGTGTCGATGCACTGAGAATCCTGAAGGGGGCAACAGAGAGGCAGCAAGGGTCAGCGATGCCTGCAGTCAAAGCAATTTCAGCTTTCATACAGGTTTCAGTTTCTCTGCTCTGTAAACACACTGCTTCTGTTTTAAGAGACCTTCATAATGGCCTAATCATTTTGGCCTAATTACAATAAACCTAATGTTGGCCTAATCATGATAAAAGTTTATTTTTAAGCTTTGAGAGCAATAAAGGGGCTATTAAATCCAATCATCCAGCAGAGTCGGTGTCCAGCACAGTTTGGTGTTTTCATTGCTCAAATACACCTGCTAGACCTGGTAATTAGGGGTGTTGCAGTGTGACATTTTCACAGTATGATGATATAATACAGTGTATAAGTGTTAAGCAACACAAGATGGTGGTAAAAAAAGAAAAGAAATCTAAAATATGAACTGGCACATGCCTTTACAGTAATATATTACACTAGTAATATATAGTATTAGTGGTATATTACACTGGCACTGAGCTCTAGACTTCTAAAAATCTCCTACAATTTAAAGTGTCACACCAAATAGTGGCATCATAGTTTTTCTGAGCCACTGTGTTGTTGAATTCAGTGGATATCACAGAGTTTGATTTGGGAATCCCCAGAGCTCAGTGACGTTCTATTATCACCATGAGCTAAAATTAATATTGAGCTAAGAAAGTCTCTCAGTGGTGCGGCTGGCTGTCAGTGTACAGCTGTGAGCCAAACGGCTAACTTCACTAACTTCTGTGTATCAACACTGTGATTTTTAGCTAACTATGCTAAACGGTGCAAACAAAGTACTGATGTCGCTTCGTCCAGAGTAGCTGAGCTGAGAAACATCTGTTGGATGCTTGTAAAGCTGTTTGTTTGTTGTTTGGTATGTTTGGTGCCTGATCTTATTAACCCCTTAACAAGCCAGTGTTATTACACACTTCTATAAGAATAGCTCCATTAGTTTGCATTAAAGTCCCTGTAGTTACTGAATAATAAGCCTTTGTATGAAATAAACCTGGATTGTTAAGGGGTTAATTAGCTAAACATTACTAACATAATAATAATAATAATAATAATAATAATAATAATTAAGTTTATGTACATAGGATCTTCCACACATTTAAAATACTGCTCAGAGTGCTTTACAATGTGAACTAATAACAGCAGAGAAAAAACAGGAGGTAGTCAGCTAAAATTTACAAACAATAACATGCAACAAACGTGAGCAGTGACAAAAATATGACAATAACATTTAAAACATGAAAAATAAAATAAAGTATAACAAAATAACATGAAAAAATTAAGCAAAAAGTAATACTTCAGTAAAAGTAAGGAAAATAATTAAAAGCTAGTTAAATCCTGATGTGAACAAATAAGTTTTTAGCTGTTTTTTTAACTGTGATAGAAGGAGCTGACTAATATTTACTGGTAGTGTGTTCAGATCTTTGGTGCAACACAAAAGGCTGCTTCAGCACGTTTTTAAGTTTCATATGTAGAATATGGAGAACGCCAGCAAGGGATGATGTAAGGGCACGATTTGGGACACAGTTTGTCCGGCATTCAGATGTATGAAAGCGCTGCACCATTAAGAGTTTTAAAAGCTAAAAATAAGCTTTTTTAGCCAGGTCCAAAAGAAACAGGGAGCCGGTGAAGTGATGCTAAAACTGGTCTAATATGATTGTGTTTTACTTATACTTTTCTAGTACTAGCAAGAATATTTTCTTGCTGCTGTATTTTGTACAACCTGTAGTTACACTATTACTTATCTATCACCACAGACAGAAGAGCATTTTGGGAAACTCAACACTGGACTAAAGGTCTGACCACACGACGTGTCTTACAATGAAACTGTGATGCCATAACAACCCTACAGCCAATTCAGCAGGTGTTTTAGCAGGAAAACCATCCCGCTATGCTGGTGTAAGGCCCTCCAGACCCAGAACTGATGTCACCTGCTACATGGCATAAAGGAAACTTTCAGCTTTTTAATAAAAAAGGCAGCTTTTTCTCACAAAAACATTATATCCATTGATAATATGTATATGGAGACCACTGGCTGGAACTGAAGAACGTATTTTTTGAACCAATATATTTACTCAGGGATTAGACTTTTTTAAAAGAGGTGAAGAAGAGGTCTTGTGTATTCTGTGTGAGCCCATTTGTGGAAGAAATTATGTTATGAATAAGTCATCTATTCCAAATGATTCAATTATTTGCTGAACCAAAAGTCTGATAAGGCGTGTTAAACAGTTAGGCAGAGCTGTCTTTTGTTAGGTGGTTCAAAAAAAAAAACTTGAGCAGTCTGTGCAGGGCCCTGGGGAGGGAAAGTAAACACTGCTTCAAAATCTGTGAGCTCCCGGCTCTCAGGACTTCATGACAATTAGCCGAGAGCCGAGTGGCTCATTTTGGGTTCTCCTGGGAGCATGTCTTGATAGCAAAGAGACAAGAGAGAGAGTGAGTGAGACAGAGAGTGAGAGCGAAAGAGAGAAAGAAAGCAGACGGCCTGCCGTCATGGGCAGTCAGGAGAGGAGAAAAGGTCAGCGGCATGAGGCAGCAAAAAACATGAAATTTGCCTCATATCGAGGCCCAGAAAGGCGTCCCTGCTCCCTCATCACTGTGACACTCTGTTCTCATAGTCAGCTTCCCTTTGTGAGCAGATGTCAGTGGGGGCCTGGAGGCTGATTAGCCCTCCCCTGCGTTCTGTGCACAGTTCTGATAAAAAGTGCCTCCGAATTCGGGCTCCCTTAAAGCGCAGAGGCTCATCAAAGGCAACTAAACGGCGCTGTTTAACCCCTGACTCCGCTCGCAGATGCAGGAACTCTCCAGAAGAAAGCAGACGCATTCGGGGCAGAGAATATGGAGGCTGTAATGGGGATGTTTTAGGTGGCGGCATCCTGTGACAGCTCTGAGCGTATGAGTCAGAGCTGGTTTAGTAGAGGAGCCATATGCACAGCATAGGTAGTTAGTGCGTTGCTGCAGGGATGCAAACCCACCACTCCTACCACTACCACGCAGTGCTAACAGTGCTGACATGGGATCTACAGGTCTACAATTTAATTTAGGACCTTTTCAATACCAGCAGCACAGCAATTTAAGACTACAGGCACAACAGGCTTCATGTTCATTTTTGTTTACTTTTTAACCAAGCAGGAAACTAGGTGTCCAACAACGGCCCTTGAATTTTGCTACAGTAAACTACTGTTAGCTAGTCAGCGAAACTCTAGTGAACAACTCTGGGTGACACTTTATTATTAAGGTAACCTACGTGAGGACTTCAAAACACATGCAAAAGCTCTGACTGATGTATTTATAAAGCAAATTTGAGTATTTATGAACAGCTTATGCCAGTAATCACTGGATGACTTAAGATATTTTATGAAAAAAAAATGACACTGTATTGACATAAGGGGTCTTAGACTAAAGTGAGAGACATTTGATTAATTTATAACACTGTTATAAAGCAAGTAATAGAACTTTACAAGGCGGAGGCCTAGTTAAGAACCCTGCATATCAGTTCTATGGAAGGAATAACATCTTTGGCTGATTTTTTAAGTGAAAGTAAGTTAACACCTCATCTATAGGGAACAAACTTATGTGTTGTGGTTTGCTGCTAATTTTAGTGCACAATTTAACATATTAGGGAAAAGTAAAACATAAATATATAATGTACCATAACTTTTGCACAGGACACATTTTGTAGTTCTTCCAGTATGATAAACTCAGAAAACAGACAGTACGTCTGCACTGAAATATGCAGATAGGCTCACTGTAGAGGAAGCAGTAATTTATTTTTACTTAGAAAATCAACAAAACATGTCATCTGCCCCAGATATACATACACATACAAAACTACTGTACTTCAGGCAAAGTTAAAAGACCCTCGATTTATATTATTATTATATTACTTGAGTAAAAATATAAGTTCTAGAATTTCTTCTAAAGCACAAAAGTACAAAATGACTTGCCTTTAAATGGCTCTTAAGCATCAAAAGCAAATGTGATGCGAGTGTGATTATTTTGATGAACCATGTCTATTGAGGAGATCTGTGTGGTTACAGACATGAAAAACAGACTAATGATCTTTAATAGAAACTGTACTTTAACTGTAGTAAAAATATATAGAACTGATCTAAGGTGTTCTTAACTGGGCCTCTACTTTACAAGTTATATTACTTGGTAATGACGCTTAATAACAGTTTTAAAAATGGTTGGTTTAAGGCCCCTTATGTCAATACAAACTCATTTACTTCTTGCCATCTTGTAAATACTGGTATAGGCTGTGTATTAAGTATTAAGTAGTAAGTATTACCTTTATAAATTTGCTATTCAATGTTTATGCATGTGTTATGCTAAGTCCCTAAGAACAAAGTGTTAGCCAACTCTTTATGAGGATATCCTTTTTTTTTGTGGAGCAATATGGCAATGTCTGGGGAGAACTCACCCCAAACGTCACACTTTCACTGAAAAAGAAAAAACTTTTTCCTTTAAAAAACAAAAGTACTGCTCTCACCACAATCTCTCTATATTCATATTTTTTACCTATTTTTGTGCAACATGTACGACAATATGAATGCACAGATCACTATTATCCACTATTCTGACAAAAAAAGATCAACTGAACTTAAAATGTTTCTGGGGGAATAAATCTCAGGAATGCAGTGAGCAAGATGAAATCTCAGAATTAATTAGACCTCAGCCATTCAGTAAATGTGTCAAGATTAGATCTGGCCCCATCATTTGATTAGAAGAGAAAATAGGTGGGGGGTGGCAGGGTATCATAACCTGGGGGGCCTCTTTCCACAGATTACCCTACATCAAACACAATTCATTCAGTGGCATTACACTGTTACATATTTATGACCTTGAAGTGTAATATTTTTTAAACGCCTTAATTTAATTCACTTTTAATGTAAGGACTCAGGAATACCATGTAACATGATACTAACTGTCCTGACAACGAAAACTTCTCTGGAAGTGAACGTGCAGTCAGATGGCTTTTATAAACTTGTAAACTCATGAATTTCTGATACACCCCAAAGGAAGTCACATTCAAACACCTGGCAAAGTTGTAAATGCAAATGATAAATTTGGGGGAAGCTTCATGTCATCCACGTTCACAAGATGTGGCTTAACGTCAGCCAGTAGATTCTCTATGACTAGGTAAACACGCCAGGAGTGTGTATTGGTAGCTGTATGTTGCAGTGCGGTGTGTCTGGCAGTATGCTCTGACCTCGGACAGGGTGGTGTTGAGCTGGAAAATCTGACCCTCGCCCTCCACCTGGCGCACACACAGCTTGCAGGCCAACTCCACTGTGCTGGCACTGAAGCGCTCCAGAGTAAAGGTGCAGTGCAGGTTCCTCTGAGAGCCACTCCACACGTGCTGGAACGGCAGCTCCTGCGGAGAGTCAGAGAGTTTAATTGAAACTGAAGCGAGATAAATACAGACAGAGAATGAAAGAGAGAGAGACAGAGCGAGAGATACAGATAGACAGTGAGAGAGGGAGGGAGACAGAGAGAGAGACAGAGAGAGAGAGAGGGATGCAGGTAGACAGAGAGATACAGACAGACAGAGAGAGAGAGAGGCACAAATAAACAGGGAGTAAGAAAGAGAAACATATAGACAGATGAGGAGAGAGAGGGAGAGAGCATGAGAGAATGAGTGTGATATAGACAGACAAGGAGACAGAGGAGAGAGAAAGAGAGAGATTAAGCGACAGAGAAATTGAGAGGGGGAGAGGGAAACAAAGAAAGAGAGAGAAAGAGAGAGAGAGAGGAAACAGAAAGAATGGGGTGTTATACAGTACATATGCCAGGAAGACAGAGGCAGAAGAACAGAAAGAGCAGATATGCCCTCATTCACCACTTTCTACCAAATCCATTTTGACCTGCCTGTCAAGAGCTATTTGTTAAGAGATGCTTCCATGGCCTTGAGCTGTCACCAGAGTGACAAAATACACTGGAGTACATGCCGCAGTAGTGAAGCTGGTCTCTACAGGGCTGGGCAGTAGTACCTGGTACTTGGCTAGGAGTTTGCTCTTCCACAGGGTGTGGGGTACGTCGTGCAGGGATAGCCGCAGGTTGTGGGTGCTGTCCTTGAAGTTCAGGGTCTTTGGTTCGTCCAGGAGCTTTCCGCCCATCTGTTTCTCCATCTGCAGCACCTCCTACAGGCCACACAAACACGCCAGACGAGTCATTGGACTTGCCATCGAAAGCCATCATGGACTGAACACGCTCATGTACTTATGGTTTCAGTCATTAGCCAGATGACACACTTTACTGAACGACTTCTCAATGATGTTCTGTTGTAAATTTCTTCTGTGCATTGTGCTACTGGCATTTGCTTCAATTGCTGCCTTCTTCTTTATGTACACTAGTCTACGGTTTTATTTAACCCCTTTATTTTTAGATTCAATCTAGATCATTGCCATGCTCGAGACGAAACAGAAGAATGGGCTGAAAAGGCCGTGAATGAGATGCGCTGGCATGCTCGCGTTTCAGAGGGCAGATTCTCTGTGTGTCTGAGAACAGTTGGCTGATGGATATTCTATTCAAATGAATGCGCTCTTTCTTCCTCTCTGCGGCATGGAAACTGAATGTGTGCCTGCTACCTCCTACCATTCATCTGCTGCTCTCTCCCACACGGCCTGCGGGAGGGCCACACACATACATATACACATGCAAATGCATGTACACGTACACATGCATCCCCGAACACATATATACATGTGCAAAGCAACCAACACGACTATATGAAATACATGTACAAAAATGCAGCTGCAAGCAAAGACACGTATACAAGCACAAACACACTGTGCCTAGTGCCAAATCAGTTCTCTCACAATGTACAAGGCCAAAGTGAAATTTCTGCACTTTAAGTAGGAGTGGGCGATACTGCAAAAATGTAACATCACAATATGTGAAAAAATGTGTATCATGATTTTTCATTTCTCTGAGGCCTGTGATGTTGGATCTACCAGCAAAAAAAATTATTTATCTATTTATTTAAGTTGTTGTTATTCCAAGATTTGTAAAAATAGCACTTTATTTGAAGGTTACTTATATAAGAACTTCATGAGAGATGAATAAGCATTTAAAAAGTATTTCTAAAGCTGTATATGAGTATATATGAACAGCCTATCTTAGTTTTTGTGAGATGACACACAATGTTTCGTGATGTAAATGACTGGTTTATTGAATATCAAATGGCCATAATGGCCTTTAAATTGATAGACAGTTGTTCCATTTACACCACTGTTATGAAGCGACGTTCATCGGTAATGTAAATAAAATATAATCTTTATATGTAGGTAACTTTCATATACAGAAAGATAAAACAATTGGTAAAAGTGTGTTGATAAAATAAACTAAAGGCATAATGGAAAGCCATCCAAAGCTGCTTGTTACTACACAGTCTATATATACAATGTATTTTTTTTTGTTTACAGGCTCTCTATAAAAGGTCTAAATGTGACTTTTATTGATATACAGTTTTTTCAGTGTAGAATCACACAGTAGTTCTAGAAGTACTGATACCCCCGATATATAGAAAAGCATATTACAATCACTTGTCGTCATACTGCCTACCCCTAACTCGGAGCTTCATTCAAAAGGAGGAAATCAGACTTACTTTCAGGGCATCCTGGGTGTCGTCCAGGCAGTACACCCGGATGTTGTACTCCAGGGCAGTGCAGGTGACAGGGCCGAACACGGCCAGTTTAAGTCTCTTTGTGGTGGCGGCGCTCACCGACTGACCCACTAGGCAGTACGTGCCCAGCGTCTCCGTCAAAATGTGACAGGCCTCCTCATCCATTTGAATGTAGCAGGGAGTGGTGAAGTTTTCCTCTCCCACCACCACCACATCCTGAAAACACACATACAGGCACAGATATCAGAGCCAATCAACCAATAAGAGGCCTATATATGTGAGAGAACATCCACAGTAGCTTCAATAAAACTAAAAAAAGATTTTATTGTTGTTCCGTCTCATCCCAGTCAAGTTTTAAAGAAGGACTGAAATAGTGTCTCCGCAACATGACGCTACACTTAGCACACTTAACAGTAGCAGATAAACAGATGGTGACAAAAGTCAATAACTATTTTAGTGCGCCTTTAAATAAGCTATGCACACAGTAAGAAGAGCTTTTTTTGGTCCGAATTTGTGGTCCGAGCCGGAATACAGTCTGAGAACTTCGTATCTGAGCCTGACTAGACCTGATCTAGGCAACACCAAGTCTGAACCTGACCTGAGCAAGATTTTGTCTGAATTTGATGCCCACAAACAGTTTTTAGGCCAAAATTGATCTGAGTTCAACAAACTTCTGTCCAAAACTGACCCAAGCTGACTCATCATAATCGAAAGTGCCAAACAAAACCTGAAAGGATAATGCCAGTTAAATTACGGTGACAATCATCAATAGCCATTAATAGAGCATAAATAAATAAAAAAAATATGTAAAACATATAGTAGAATAATCAGCTGTTCAAAATTAAGTTGAACAAATTTATTTATCAAGCAATGCCTTTGAATAACTTCCTAAGTTTTTTAACCTGCATGAACTTTCCACTGTGCAGTGGCATTGAAAGTCTAGCCTTCACATGTTTAATCTTAAAACTCTATTTCTTTAGACAGAAACAGCCCAGTCGACAGTAAGTACAAAACAGAGAAACAATTTAAAGGCTATAGCAACAATGCCAACTGTATATGTATTATTCAATATAGATGAATTATTCAATGTTGTAAGCTAAACTTAGTTCTAGCAGCTGCTAACACTGTCAGCTAAAATTACTGAACAATTCATAGTAGTTACTGGATAATAAGCCTGCAGTTTAAGGGGTTGGCATGTCTCTATAGCTTTAACAGTATGTCTTGAACTAATACGAGGAGCTGGAGACCGCCTGTCCATGAGGTAATAGTGTGCAGACCCCCCGCAGTTGACCCCTGTAGTAGTGACAGTGTCAGGATCTCTCTACCGCTTTCATTATGGCCATCCGAGGCGACGGATCTCAAGCTGCGGCTCTTCTTCCTATTAGTTCTAATCCCGACGCTTTCACGGGCTCCGCACTGTCATTAATTTCATCCCATTATGAGAGAGAGAAAAGGAATTAAAATACTTTATTGTCAGCTTGGCCATTAAACAGCAGTATTATGACTGGTCATTAGCCTCTGTAACGGGTCCTAAGGGAGCGCCGGATTGGAGAGCGTTAGCGAGATAATGAGAAAACAGCGTGGGGAAAGTGGGCTAATGCCTTCCAGAACTGATTTATTTACCCAAACCCTCAGTCAATCTATCATAGCGTAACATGCCGGTCCTTCAGAAAATAACTTTGAGCAGAGCAAGCTCTGAAAAACAGCGGATGAAACCTCATCACCATGCCTGTGTGTTCTAATGGGCTTCAAGTGTTGCTGGAAAATAGACTACATGAAAACTGCAATATTTATAAAAAATTGAAAAAAAAAAAAACCGCAGAAATCAGACACGCCTTCGAAAGAGTGCTACGAAAACACATCACATCAAAAACGGTCAGGTCGTCGCTCAGCATCATGGGAGAGACTCATATTTACAGCCCAGAGAAACATCTTTCAAAATGACTCATGTGCCTTCACCAGGGATATGTATTTTGACAGAGCACTTCATTTGCAAGAAGGGAAACTGAGAAAGCAATATTTACTAGCCACATGTGTTCTGCCTTCAGTGAGGAGAGAGGAAAAAAAACTCATCTATGAATGCCATCTAAACTTACCACCCATCACCCACGGATATTACTCGCTGCATGCCTGACAGCCACGAGATGTCATCAATAGCTGTGTCTTTGTTTAAACGGCTGAAACGCACATTTAGTTTTATTGGTCGCACTGTTGGTATTCATCAAAGTCACACTGCTGTGATGAGATGCGAATTTCTCATTCAGTGTTTTTTTCCCCAAAAACATTCCCACCCTCTCCCATTCTGGAAGGAGTCATCGTGAGCTGTTTTGCAGAATCAGGCATGTTTTGGAACGTACAAGGATTTATGGTGGCGCGGGGGCCCATGAGGAGAGAAATGGACTTGGTGAAGTGAGTAATCTGCTGCTCGCTGGAGCGACCGAGACTGCAGTCCCCATAGACTTACCCACTCAACAACCTCTCTCTCTCTTTTTCTCTGTCTCTCTCTCTCTCTCTGGAGACAGTCTGAGCTCTGCCCTTAATCACTCTATCCTCAATGTCTCCTCCATTCCTCTCCTGCACCCTTCATTTTGCACCTTTCTCTCAGGTCCTCTCTTGCACTCCATTGTCCTCTGTCCCTAGTGTCAGCAGCACTGAGAATCCATCATTTTTTAGCATGACTTTATCAATTCTTTCGTGCATCAAAGAAGCATGCATTTTCTCATATTTCTAAACTTAGATTTGAAGAAGAAAACCTCTGAGGCGCACAGTGTTCAGCGTACTGGAAACAAGCTCTTAAATCATAAAAATAATTTTGAACTGTGGTGGAAAAGTATGCGAACTCTCAGCAACAGGGTTACAGAAACAACGCTTGCATTGTTCCATTCAAAGAAAGAAAGAAAGAAAGAAAGAAACTCATTTTTCCCCCCAGCATTTTAATGTATCTTGTCAGAGGAAAACAGCACCACACTTTTGTGGGTCCTGAGGCCAGTGTTTCAGCAGTATCCTTATGAATCGCTAAAGGCTAGCCAAAAGTGCTTTATGTTTGAGAAGATGAGACAAGGTCACAGGCTGTTGCTAAGCAGCTCAAAAGCTGTGAGGGTCTGTGGGGAGATGAATGCAGAGTCACAGTGATGCCAGAGTAGTGACTTTGACAGCAGCTTGGAGCAATCTGAAAGAAATCACCCATGTTTCTGGCTGATTTGCTTCACTTTGGTTGTGAGTCACAGTCACTCTCGTGATGGTAAAAAAAAAAATTGTAAAGCGTGGAAAAAAAACAAACGCTGCATTCCTGGTCAGTTGGGCGGTTTTATAAATAATGTGCTTGAGCTTTATAATCACCAATAAATAAATGCAATGTCTATACACTATAATCACCATTTGCCATTTAAACAGCATGAGGCAAAAGCTAGTGTAATTGGTGGTATAATGACAGCGCGCGAGAGAGATGAGTGCGTTCTGAGGAGAGCTGTGAGAGTGCGGGGCTTTTGCGTAGGCTGCTGCTTCCTCACACGTGCCTTATGCATGGCTAATTAGAGCGCTGGCATTGTGTTTGCATGTGATAACAATAAAGGGCAGTGGCTGGGTGTGAGCAGGGGCTTTGTTCGCAGATACGCCCCCAGCCCGCACCCAAGATAACCAACTTCTCCTCGTTGCCCCGCGTTAATGACAAGGCCGGCGGGTGGCCCGCGCTATCTCCGGCTCACGCGTGCGCTCAGCCTCTGTGAAAAAAAACTAAAAAAAAAAAAAGTCCCATCTTCTCCTCTCTGAAGCCTGGAGAGTGAGGCGCAGGGGAGGCGCAGGCACCGTCTGCCTGATAACAGACTGTTCTCCATCGCCATCTAATTAACTCTGGGTTCTGTTTACCAGAGCTCGCGCAGCGTGGCGCGAGCGCGGCTTCGGCTCTCTCTCTCTCCGCTTGATCTCTTCCTCTTTGCTCTCTTCTGCTGGTTGCTTTTTGCGCCGTTTGTGCAGAAACAGCTGTCGCATGTCCGCCGCGCTATCTGGCGACAGCACGGGTTCATCCGGCTCAGCGGCCGCGGGGAGGCTGGACCAGTGTCCCGCAGGAGGCCTAAGCCAAGGCGCATGTGTGTGTGTGAAGGCAGAATCTTTCACTCCCTTCATAAACGTTTACTCTACATTTGTGTGATCCTTCGTCATTAACTGCATGATATCCCAAGTTCAGAGATCAATCAGGGAATGACCTTCTCCCAGCCCTTCCCACTTACCTCCCACTGGCCCTGCTGTGATTGGCTTTTCAGCTGAATAAGCCAGTCCTCGCTGTCAGCCTCGGCACAGTGGTGCATAGTGATGATGACCGGACGGGTCAGCAGGGCTCCTGGAGGACCACAACTCACCACCGGGCTCAGAACAGTCTGGGTGTCGTCCACTGAAGGCCTGTGGCCAAATAACAGATATAGGATCAGCACACAAAATTAGCTGGCTTGTGAAAACAGAATCAGTGACAGACTCTCTGTTCATCATGGTGTTTCATGAAATACGACTGACACAAAATCTATAAGGACAATAATGTGAATGTCTAGCATCTATTAAGGCCCAAACAATGTATTGGCGGCTTGTGAGGATTTATCGCTAGCGGCAAAAATGTCATAGATAGAACACTGATATTCGTAAGAGGCTTGTTTTTCATCCGTAATAAACTTAGAAACTAAAGAACTGCTCATTCCTCTAAGCTCGAAAACAAAGCATCCTTATTGAAATAACATTTAGCATGAGGATAGCATGTCTCAACATAGATCAATATAAATCAATGTGGGGGAAAAAAACAGCAAGGAACGCATGGAAGCTCCTCCTCCTGCACTGCATTATTTATATTGTTTATAGAGATGTAACTACGCATCATGACAACTCAAAATGGTGGTGATGTGCATCATAGAGAATGGATATTCAGCGTCCAACATGATTACAGTCATCATTTTTCTTCATTCATATTTTGTTAAAATATTGAGAGAATACTGAATGTCCAGTATCATGAATCGAATAAAACTGTGGGCTAGGTGTTACACCCCTAATTATTTAAGGCTTTGTGAGTTACTGCTTTTAATTTGAGTTTAAGAAACGTGACAACTGAGAACAGAGAATCATATTTGACCACTTACAGATGCCAATTGACAACTGCGTCAGTCACTAAAGTGATCAGTAAGCCCATGTAAAGCTATACTGACTGATGTTATCGGTTCTCCGAATTTTTATCGTTAGCAGTATTGGTAGCAAAATTTTCATATGAGGTGGGCCCTAATATCTGGACCAGGAGTTCCCAACTTTTTTCTACTTGCAGCCCACTCAACCAACGACAAAACCTTCTGCAGCCCACAAGACGACTTTACCAACCCAACTGTTTCATATGCAAGCAAATATCACAATATATCACAACTCAATAATCAAAGCGGCCTATCGAATTTCTCTTCACAATGCAATCACACATCATAATAAACACTGTTTTGTGACAAATAAATTCCATACGATCAAAAAGAGAAACTTTCCACACTGACCTGAGCACTAAAATTGAAACATAAATAGCTTTTAACTGTATTGTCCATTGTCAGACCAAATGCTTGAGCTTGACCTGAATACTTAAGTATTTTTGACTTTTCATTTTTGCAAATAATCATCACAACAATAACATTATTCATGTTTAAAATTACTGGTTAGGTTAAATGTTTAAAAATGATGTCTGCTGTATGTCTATAAAAGTGACTGTTAATGACACCCTAGCAGTCTCACCACAGCCCACTGGGGGCGCCGTGGGCCGGGGTTGAAAACCACTGATCTAGACAGTATGTTAATCATGGTAATGAGCAATATTGGCTCTGAAAGAAAATGAGATGCATTTTTGCACTGTGGTGGCTACTGGAAGGAAACTGCACAGGAGGCACTTGGACTCCAACTCTCATTATGTTGTTTGTCAGGGCCAAGCTGGAGGGGGCGATGGAAAATGTGAGGAGCATGGCATGGGGCGAGACTTGACGGGTGGACAGATGATTTTCCTTCTGATCGTGGTGCGTCTGGCCGGGTGTGCTGTGCTGATGAATGTGGGAGTTGGTGGGAGTGTGTGCGTGTGATTGGAGAGGGAGGTTACCTCATGGTCTCCTTCCTGTGCACCGTCACGTACATCTCATACACTCGTCCCTGAGGGATAGCACCTGCTGGCACCAACAAGCTCACGCCTGTGGGGAGACACACCCACGCACACACATACAGACACACACACAAACAGGGCAACTGTCATCAATCTGTGACCTCTGCCACACTCTGCCCTTTGCCAGGCCCTGCGTCTGCCAGTGCTCACCATGGCGCCGGGCAAAGTGCAAAGAGCAAAGCCCTGTCAATGTCACTCAGACACACACACATACGCACATGCTCCAGCCCGTGGCACACACCACAGAGCCAGCGCAATGTGGAAATTCCCTGTCTAGGCTCGGATGTGACACCACGGAGGGGGCTGATTCTCTCCAGCAGGGTGGCCGCTGCTGCCTGCTTGAGCCCCACAGCTAGTGCATTGATTTTCCATGTCCTTCATGTGAACTCTTCATGGGGTGACTGCCACTCTCCAGCACCAAGACCACTATGTGCACTGCAAGATGCCCAAACAGCCCTAAAGCTCGGTATTGCTGCATACGGTTGCAACTTCCCTTGCGATGGTGAACACTTGTGACAGGATTAACTACCTTTCATTCATTTCATTTCCAATCAAAACAGCCATTAAGTTTTTTTTAATTTTCAGTGTCGGGAAAAAATGTAGGAATCATATTTAACAGAAATGTACACGTTTTGTATAATGTTTGACAATTCTTGAATTGAGCCTTGAACCTGTCAATACATAATGTTAATCATATGTACATGTACCTCATTATATACCATATATTAAAAGTAATTACATAACATATTTAGATGAAAATGGTACAGCAAAAAACAGTAATAACTGTTGATTTCTAGGGGTGAAATACTGGCCTCAAGTTCCCATTGGCTCACAGCACTAGTAATAATAAGACATAACAAACCACAAGTTGTTAGAGGGATCATTTGCATATTGTAGTCTATTGTGATATCAGTATCATGTATTTTTTACCATTAACAAATGGCATTCCGTGCAGCCCTACCAACAACACCTTATGTTTTATATAGGCATAAAATCCTCAATCACAAAAAAAAAACAACCGAGAAATGTGATGAAATTGGAGCTGAACTGAACTGTTCTGTCATTTGTTTCCTCAGATTCGACAGCTCAAGCTTCACTACACATGCACAGACACACACAATGTGCCCCACTGTCTCGCATTATTCATTAGCCGTAGCGAAACTGTGAGAAACTTTTGAGATCGGAGTTGTTATGCTTTTCACTTCACTCCAGGCTGTGAGTTCCTCTGCTGCTGAAATATTCATCTGATGAAATGTACAAGGATGCTTTTGTGTAAATGAATGGGTAGGGCCTTGGGGATAATCCAGGCTTTTGCACATGACATGTTTCTGATTTTACAGACCAACAACTGTCTGCTGGCACATGCACTTCACGTGACACGAGCAGTCCACCCATCCTATCGTTGGAAAGTGCCTTGTAAGGGTTCTTTATGGTCCACCCCTCTTCTACAATGACCCTGTGGGGAATAGTTGCCGTATACGGGCCTTAGCCACATTACACACTTCACACTCTGGCTAAGAGCAGCGTTCCAACCCCGTTTCGTAATGAATTAATGGGCAATAGTCCCGCCGGTTCCGGAGGGGATGGCCGACTGACGTGAGAATGATTACCCTTTCAGGCTCCAATCTACGAAGTGCCCTAATCCCTTTATATCGCATATGCCGCGCTAAGTCACTTTGAGCGCCCCTCGTGAACAGATTTACGAGCGAGCCATGCTGCTGAACGGAAGCTGCCGTGCACCACTCCGGCTCTCGGGGGAGCTATAAAAATCACTGCGTCTATGATGGGAAGATTCAGTATGTCTGTGCTGTTGCTAGGGCCAGAGCTGAGATCTATTGACCTGGAGAGGGTGGAGGATGCGGCCATCTATTGAGCCGAAGCGCAGCAGCATCAGAAGCACCCGATAAAATCAGGAGGCCATACACATGTCCAGCAGGGTCCAACACGCAAGACGTGTGCTACACTCGTTCTCACAGCAGATTTAGGAATGAAAAGTAGCAAGTCAGATGAACTGGGGCTTATTTTCGTACAATAACAGATTATAGAGAATAGCATGATCGCTAATCATTTTATTCTAGGGGTGGATAATAGGAATCAGCCAGAATCGGAATCGGCTAATGTTCACTTCTACCAATCGCTGGTCAATTAATTTTTTTTGTTTGCTTGTTTTGTTTTCAGCATAAATAAAGTGAGCAGACCACGCTGCATCTGAATGCTGTAAAAAATCGTAACTGTCCATAAAAAAATCAAGATTTCAGTACAAACCTAAAGTGGAGTTGGTCGGCTTCTCACCCTATGGACGTCTTATGGACATTCGCGGCAAACCTCCACCATCTCTCTCATGTTTGACTGGCATCTAAGCCATGATAAACAGCACCCCAGGCCGAGCATGCGTGCTCAGCTTTCACAGACAGCTCACTCCTCTTCCCACATGCCTGTACTTGTACGAGAGAAGGGGTCTGAGGCCCTGCATCGATCAGTTCTCTTTGAAAAAACACACAGAGCGTAAGAGTGGGTGGTGGATTGATGTCAGGGTGGCAGCATTCTGAAGGATTCTTGTGGACTCTGGCAGTGTTTAATTTAACTGCTGAAAGCTGCCTGTAATCTGTGTTTATAGGCCAGCCTGTAATTCTGACACCACCTCTCCCTTGGCGACACCCAGCGTGGCCTGCTCTTCATTAAGCCATCCAGCTTCAAACAGTGGCTGGCAACACCCGGCCTGGGCGGCCGCAGCGTTACCAGCCTCCGAACTGCATGTGCTGACACCTGCGTAAACTGCATTCTTCTGGATCACTTCAAGCTGTGCCCCACAGGCAGAGCACAACTTAAGTTCACTCAGCCTAATAACCATCTCAAAGACCTTCACTCCCACACTCTCAAACAGGGATAAGTTTTTTAGACCAACCCTGTTTAATATTGAGCATCTGTCGATACTGACTCGGATTCTTTTTCATAGACAATACAGCTGATAATACAGCACATACTTCAAAGATGTAACAAAGCAAAACAAAGCCGACTGCTGTGGCTAGGCTGCCTTACTTTACTTCATTTTCAGTGTTTTAGCATTTCAAGCTGCCACAATATGAAAGTAGCCTTTTCTCATCTTTAAACATGCTGTTGCTGAGAAGTGTGCACTAGTAGTGCACTCAAATTTCATGTGCAGCTGGTTTAATTGTTTTCACAAAAAGTGGCTAGCCTAACCGCAGTAAAAAAACACTGCTACTGCAGTCATTACACGGGGCTGCTGGGCTGTTCTTGTTTTCCACTCTAAAATATTTCCCCACTGCAGACACTCAGATTGCTTGCTAGCCCTTAAAAACCGATGCAAAAATTTGTCTGTCTCTGCTATTTAATCTGCTCTTCTCAGTTAATAAGGCAAAAGAAATACATTTTGAAAAAGTGAACACATGAATAGGAATGTAACAGGAATAGCTTCATATGCAAACATTTGAGCACCAGTTTGAACCCAAGCCTAACAATACGTTTTGTTAAATTTTCTAAGTGAAAGTAAGTTAACACGTTTAACACACAAAATTTTAGTGCACACTTTCTAGTCAGTTAACATAATAATATAAAACATAAAAGGTAAAATGTGCCATAATTTTGGAACAGGCCACATTTCATGTTTAATTTTTTTCCCATATGATAAATACAGCAAACAAAAACAGTACTTGTGCTGTGTAAATGTACAAAATTATTTTCACCCATCAACAAAACACATAACTTGACCAGGGGTGCCCATATATTTGCATATAAGTCTATTTTCCTAACATAATAGGAATATTTTCTTCATTGTAAAGCATTTTAAGCTTATTGTATGAAATCTGCTATATAAAAAAAATGTACTTTGTGTCATGTGGGCGAGCCATAACTCAGCTGGTGGAAGATTTAAAAGAGTTAAGGTTTTGCCGAATTCTCAGAATGGGTTGTCAGGGAGGCACTCGGTTTAATAAGGTTAGCTTCTGACTGTCGCAGGTAGTGGATTGTTCGTTTACTCCACCTCTACAACAGTGACGTAAATTGAGTGAACTGGGATAAAACACCCTCGACAAAGAACTGTTACTAGATCAAGCTTAATATTGCAGACATTAATCCATTAATAATGCCTTGACTGGCTCATACTCATATATTTCATATCAGATCTGTACATCTTTATTCTTAAACATTCACATACCTGAGTTGGGAACGATGAGGTGCCCTCCGAGGGAGTTGAAGGAGCCGAAGGCAGTGCAGGAGGGGTCCCGGCTGCGCACCAGACTCTGGGTGCGCTGGCCCATGGTGTCACTGTCGATCAGTGAGTGTGGGAGCTTGGGGGAGAGTTTGGAGGAGAAGTCCGAAAGGTCCTCTTGTGGGGTGACCAAGCCTGATGAGTTGTACACTTTGATTTTCAGGTTGGGCAGCGGGTCCAGCAATGGCGAGTTGGTCATGGGGATTTTGTCGGCCACATCGTGGAGGGCATACACGGGGCCGCGGTACATGGCTGCAGCTGAGGTCAGGTCAGGAGGTGCAGCCAGGAGATCAGCTGAAGGGGAAAGAAAGAAGGAGATAGGAAAGCCAAAAGTTAGACATTGGAAGTCCATAACAAAACCATTCATGCCATTTTATATTAATATCACTCATACAATAGAAAATTTAACAGATTTTTTACAGTAAAAACTGTATTCATCCATTTATTGTGAAAACAACGCATATTAAGATGTTTTCTGTAATAACACAGCAAATTACTGTGAGGTTGCTGATGAGCTGTACTGCACAGCATTATGGGGTAGGAGAGCAACTGTGTTAAAAAGGCATTAATTTTTTTAACGCTGGAAAATTTTACTGTTCATTAGTATTATAAGATATACATTTTTGGTCATGTTTGTGCAGATCATAACTGTTTGTAAAATGTGTATTTGCGTTTAAAAATGCATATTGAGACATTCCAGGAATATTCATATTCTTTTATCTTTTACTTACACAAAAAATGTGTATTAAAATTAAAAGTCATTTTTTATATGCAAGTTCACAGTAAATTACTGGCTAATGAGTTGCATTCCTTTTATAGATGACATGTAAAAATAAAGATTACTTTGTTTTCGTTATAGCTTTTCACTGTAAGTGTACAACAGAATACAGCTGTAATCCTGTGTTCCCAGTGACTGTGAAGTCACAGTATACAGTCACTATATTTCACTGTTATTTACAATTAATACAGTGCAGTAAATTACTGTGAAAGTAATGCAACTAGCAGCCAGTAATTTACTGTAACGTTTCAGGGAATGTTTTTTGCAGCGTAGCTCTCTGAAAGAAAACTGATTTTTTAATCAATACTACATATGTGCCCATAAACAGAAAGGGAGATATTATGATTGGAATTAGACGAAAAGATGTTGTTGTGTATACAGTCCCATTTTGTGAACTCAATTTCGTCATGCTTTGGTCATTAAATCTAATGACCAAATGAATTGAAAATGTCAAAAGTACAGACCCGAACCTGTCGAGAGAGAATGTACACAGAATGTAAATGTAATTAATTACCTAAAAGAAGTAGTTTATTTAATTTAAGTAGTAATAACTCCAGTGTTAAGAACACTATATCCTTCAGAAGTCAAGGTAAGTTGAGGTCCTAACTCCGGCTAGGTTACATGATTAAGTAGGTCTCCTCTACAGCAAAGTTGCCATTGGTCTATTTCTCTCTCCTGCTCTCTCTCTCTCTCTTTCTCTCTCTCTCTGAAGCAGGTGAAGCACCTGGGAGGGTCAGTTACGGATCAGTTCCGCGCTCGGGTGCACTGCTCCGGGCAGCAGATGGCTTCCTTATTAATGAGCTAATCCCTTCGCAGGTACACAGATGAATATGCACAAGCGTGCTGAGTGGGTGTGGCGGCCCTGCTGAGTCCTCTCCGTCCGCCCACCCTCCTCCCCCTCATCTGCTGAGAGCGGCTCAGTCGCAGCCCCCGTAACGCTGCAGTCTCCGCGTGTCACTGTGGAGTCACTGTGAGCATTGTGCTCTCACTCTCCACTCCAGTACAGGCAGAGACACGGCAACCATGGCAACCTGCTGGGCGCTGAGAGTTAAGTACTGGAAGTATTGGAGGTGAAGGACAAGCTCAGCTCATTGACATGAGTGGAAAGTAATGAATTATAGCGAGTCGCTACTAATATGATCTAATGATGTTTTTCAGGTATAATTAAAACACAGAAATTTCATTTTTGCCTCAGTTTCTTTCTAATATTCAACTTCAATTTCATTTTTAATAACTGTCACAGAGTGAAAAGAAAACAGAAAACTAAATTTTCCTGTTTTTTTTTAAATGTGTTTAATGTAATTTGTAAATTTTGTTAAAATTTCAGTTCATACAAAGAAACTAAGCTGCAAAAACAAGCTGCTTTAAATTCACTGTTTTTGCAATGTCATCAACATCAGTGCAGTTACACATATCCACCTATTCAGGCTACAGCAGTTTAGCTCCGCCCATTCACACAGAAGGTATAAGGAGTGTTTCAGTCTGGACTGCTTGCTGAACAATACAGGCCAGCCAATCAGAGATCATTTACATATATATTAATTTTAAAAGCACAGTAACAAAAAACATCCTGTTTACTTCAATGGTACGAAGTGAGGTAGCAAAAGGAGAAAAATAATTGACCATGTTTTGGAGCATAAATTCACACAAATGTCAAGAAAGGATGTTAGGGGGAAAAAAAACTAAATGCAAGAAAAAATATACGATATGATCATATATTTTATGATGATAATATTCTATAGGTTTCAAACTATTTGTAGGAAGCTGCAAAGTTTTTATTTGATGAACAGAGCTGTGAACTTCATGATAGCTGAAAAAGCTGTATAGCATTCAGAATGAACATCCAGAATGCCTCGTATTCAGAAAGTGGTGACATCTCACTAATTAAACAGCTATTCATATTAATTTAGAGAAAATACATAGTTATTTACAGTTTATCATTAAATAGCATTTGCTAGATTGTTTTATTATGCCAACAACTTTTTGTTGCTCTTAAAATACTTTACATTGTGAATAAGGCATCAGTTTACGTTTTGGTGTCTAGTGCATAACATTTTAATCTACGCTGTTCAAGTTATTCAATAACAATTATTAACATTACAACTGATTTCAAACTTTTGAATAGGAGTGTATCTTCTACTGCCAGTACATGTTGGCTAGCTAATTTAGCTAGTGTAAGCTAAGAAAGAATGGTTTTTCAATATACACCAATATAAACCTCTTGCACCAGTTACTGTCTTTACTTACAGTTGCATGCAAAAGTTTGAACATCCTCAGTCGAATTATATGTTTATTTGATTTTCTAGGTAAAAATTAGTTAACACTTCCTCTATGGTGAACAAACTTAAATTATGCCATTTTTCAGCAAATTTTTTGAAACCGTTTTTTTATTTATCTGCTGAGTTTGACCTATTAGAAAAAAATAGAACATAAAATATAGAATGTGCATTAACTTACATACAGGCTACATTTTATGTTTTATTTTTTTCCAAGATGTGCAATTTAGCTCTAAAACAGTAATTCTGCATTACATTCTCTGTAGATGTGAACTTATTTTCACTTAGAACTTTTGCATATATGCATTTTGACCGCATATTGAATGCTTGTTGATAAGGAAAGTACAACATCTTGCCAGGACGATTTGACTCACAAACCTCTGAATGAAACAAACCCATTCTAGCAGAGCTCTCTCACTTTGTAAAGTTTCCTAACTATGATCCACTGTGTCTCTGACTTTTCCGCAATGCCTGTATAGATGCAAACTCTGACGTGGGAAGAAAGCATGTCAGTAGAACACAGAAACCTCAGAGTTAAGTGAGCCGGCCCACATGCCTCACTGTTTACCTCCCCTTTCCACAACACCTTTCAGTCAGCTCACTGTGGCTGATATCTAATTATCATTGAACGTGCCACACAGGCAGACCTAATTATGGCTTCATGATAACTTGCAGATTGCCTTCACATCAAAGTGACAAGCATTCTAATGGTGTCTTGGCAGAAACCTCACCTAGTATGCCTCCCCCTCCCTTCCCATTCTCTCTTTTGTGCTTTCCCTTCGCTGCGGCAGAGAAAAACGCTCGCTTTGAATTATGAACGCGTCTCCCCCGGCTCCCCACACATTTGGGCGACGGTTCTGACACATATCAATTCTCAATCTGCTGTTGTCACCTCTGTCACCCCTCCTGTATTCATCAACAGCAAAATGACCTGCCAGTTCCTTTTTTAAATTATAGCGACATTGAGGAAATAAAGAGATACGTCAAAACGTTTTTGAGGGACAAAGGCTATTCTGACAGTCGCTCGTTTGCTGCAGCTGGGCAGCATTTAAACTTTACTATATCCAGCTGATATAGACTCACCTGTCCGAGCCGTCTTGATGCTGACTGGCTGGAATCCGCCGTTGAGGGCCGAGGAATCGATGATGTCGGAGTCGAAGTCGCGGTGATTCTTGCGGTAGACAAAGAGGGCCACGATGACGGAGATGACTAAGCACATGATTACGGCGATGACGATGCCCACGTACAAAGCCACATCATCCGTGCTTGGGGCAGCTGCGGGTAAAGAAAATAAATAAATAAATAAATTTCGAAATAAAAAATTAGGAGAAGAAAGAGAGGAAGAGAAGAGGAAAAAAGAACGTGATCAGTCCCAAAGGCTTTGAAGTGAAGAGCTGTGGATACGGAGGATGAATCATCACTGATTGATAGCACTTTCATTAAAGCTGTGTCAAATTAGCAAGGAGACGCTATCTGCGGTCCAATATCCTGTTCACAGATAGCCTGGTATATTAATAACTGCAGAACTTCATTACCTTCTACTGAGCGAACTGAGCTTTCCTGACTGGAATGTAGAGGAACTCATCTGAGATCAGTGAATGAGGGGTTGCTTGTACAGTAAGCAGTAGAAAAGAGCTGCAGTGAAAATGACAGCCTAGAGGAATTCAGTCTTTCATCAAATTGAGCAACTAAATAAAAAAAACTCCAACCAGTGCAGCACAGACATGATAGCATAACAACCCACCACCACATCCACCCACAAAAGCCACAGTATATGGCCTATACGTGACGTTAGACTCATAGAAGGTCAGTTTTCAGGAATAAAGAAAAGACAGAGCTGAATCTGTACAGAATCAGCAAGAATTACACAATGAAAAGGAAAATGACATATGAAAAAGCAGGTCAATACATCAATACCATACTACTGTACCAGGATATGTGCCTTAAGAGATATGCCTCAGCCTCAGAACATGTAGGAACCAAGCTCCAAATAAGATCAGAAGCTTCAAACATGTGACATTTCAAATTACAGAGGTCCTCTGTAGAACACACTCCATTCGTTCCTGCTTTTGTTCCCTCACTTTACAGATAAAATCTAGAAATAGCCTCTTGTTACAATTCCCCCTCTTTTTCCTTGCTTTCCTGGACCAATCTCAGCTGAAAAAACCATTACTGATTATACGGAATGGTGGGCCTGGGCTATCTGACATGTGACAAGTTGTCATTAGGAGCAATGCTTGTCGTTCGCCTCCATTGAGATGGCGCTTTTGCCCCCCCCACCACCCCTCGATAATTGTGATGAATGCGTATCGCCATCAAAGCAGCTTCACAAGTAAGGGAAATTACTCCACTTTAAAGGTGTTCGAATGGCAAGGGGCGACAGGCACAACTCTTTCCCCCAGAACACGGCACAGCGCCACTGCCTACATGAAAACCTGGTAAGGGCTATTGATTCCTCCATCAGCCTTAAATGGAACATAATCAACCCTCGCCTGGCACGGAGAGCCGGATGGATTCGTGCGCCTAATTCTCTCATTTGCAGTCGCTCCGAACTCAGAAGTGGAGGGCCCTGCGTTGGATTGTGGGAGTGCATAAATTAGCGGCGCACAAAAGAGCACACTTAAGCGCCAATAACACTGCTGCCTTTAGTGCTGCTGCCGTTTTGGTGTCAGTCCTGGACTGCGTGCCCGGAGTTCCCTACTTGACCAGTAGGTGGCAATGTCAGCCATGAGTATTGAATCCACTGAAAGGCACAAACACATTACATATCTTCATCATGTAATAGGACTACTTCAAAAACGTTCAATGTCCTATGAACCATGCTTCAGGCCACTGGTCAATGGAGTATGATGTAACAGCCGCTGCAGCTTTTAATGAAAAAAATTACAATAGAGAGTAAATGCATCTGGTTATAGTCTTGGCTGAATGGCACTGTCTCTCATTCTCTAGTGCACTAGTGGCCTTGTTGAACCTCTCAAAGCCACCTCCATTTTCAGTCTCTTAATTAAAGGCATGTGTTTCATCTCTCCCCTGCTGGAAAAAAAAGGTGGAGGACACTGTTTGTGTGGGAAGGGCACGTAAGCGTGAGACTGTGCAAATGTGTGTGTGAAGGCTTTCTTCAGGGATGCGGTGTATTGTTGCAGCGCTTGAGGCAGGGGCCCTTTTAAAGGTAGTACCAATCAATGTCAAGATTGGCTCTGCGCTGGCTCTTGCCGGCCTTAATCACTGTGACATTACAAATTAATCTCCTTAATGGGAGCCCTGCCCTCCAAACCCAGCTGCTCTGACCTCTACGCTCAGCTCCCCCTCAACATCCACGGCTACTGCTCTCACCCTGGACCCTTACACAGCCATGGTCCAAGCAGACAGAATGGGGTGGTCTTCACTGTGCTTCTGGTGGAAGAAGCCCTTGCACGCTAGGTGGAGAGCAGGGGCACAACCTAACACATTTTGGATTTTGCTAATAAAGTATTTGTGCAAGAGTAACAGTTTTTATACGAGCAACCTGGATATCTCTGCTACAAACGAAAATGTGACATTTTAAGCACCTACTGTTTGAATAATTCTGCCGAAGGTGGCATGAGTGCAATCCCCATATGTGGGGTTAACTGTAACAGTCTCAGGGTCTAGATACAACAGTCGCTAAAAAGTTGGGTGAATTGATACGAACACAATTAATACTATCCTAGGGGTTCAGTCAAATGATTTTTTTGTTGTGGCAGCCATATTTGGGACCGAATTCCTGGCTTTGCTGCTCCGCACAAATGTAACTAGAGGTGTAAGATGGCTAAAATTATTCACCTTTTTTTGGAAGAGAAAAAGGTTACCTCGCCAAAGTCGATAAAATAGGCTGCGATCTTTATACAGTTTCCCCGAACTCCTGGTCCCACTTAAACTGACGGAAAGCTACCAAATTTGTGTTTTCCTGACATTAATATTTATCTCATACACAGTCCCTCTCCCTATTCTGGAGAGTCTCTCAAAGCATTTAAAAGCACAGAAGCCCATCGACTCTTCACATCAGGGTGGGTAAAGGATCCCATGGTGTTGCATAAAGAGGAGAAAAAACTCTTGGTCATCATAAGAGGGTAACGACATCAGCTAATCAACACAGATGTGAACAATGTTAGCCTTTAGATGAATTTTGCTAATGTTAAAAGCCGAGAGATGAACAGTCGCCCCCTAACGGAGCTGTAAACAGCTGTGTATAATTTTACTTCTCTGTTTCTGGAGATTTAAATGATGTTTGAATGTAGAAACAAAAACGTTAAAAATAAGACTGAAAGTCGTGGGTTGGAAAACTACATCGTGTTTCGACAGACGTTATTTTGTAAGTTTGTTAGTGCAGAGTTCAGCTCCAGTCCTGCAACCGCTGCACTGCATAACAGGTTTCCACAGTTAAAATACTTTACATTAGCTAATTAATCCCTTCTTGAGCTGAACAAGGTATATACGGCTGAGAGAAAAACTAAACAGAGCACGGGGGCATGACTATACAGTGTGACGTCAGGCAAAACGCAAGAATATAGTTCTATGCTGTTTGAGCCAAAAGAGCTCTCCAGTGCAAATACATAAAAATATGTGCATCAAAGTAAATATGATTTGTGAAAAGAGGCTGTCAAACGTAGCAGTTTTGCTTTTGACCACTAAGTAGAACAACACTATAAAACTGAAGTACAATACTTTTCTGATGAGCTAGTGAATAGAAAGTTCTCGATAAATCCGTTTAGCGAATCAGGGTGCAGCATTCAGGTAAGGGCAGAATCTCAAATGGCTCCCTTCTCCCTACATAGTGCAGTATGTAGGTCTTAAAAATAATGGCTACTGCATCTAAACAGTGCACAGTGTGTCTGACAAAAAACCACTTTGGATTCAGCCATGTGTGCACAATTCCATACTGGACATAAAATGCGATATTTAGGTGTGAAAAACAAAATTTTCTAACTCACACAGCGCACTATATAGAGATCAGTGAGCCATTTGAGATTCAGCCTTAGGATTTTTCGAGGTATGATTTTATCCATGTTTAATATTGCCCGTTAATGGGCTGTTTTGGCTGCATTCCTCAGTACTTTACCTGCTTGTTTTATGTTAAAGAATGTTAAATCCTGCATGTAATGGCTTTGTTTAACTCTGAAACATGAAATGGTCATTGCCGTTATCTGTTTTTGCCGAAAAACAAAATTTAGATAAAAAAAAACTATTTTTCAGTGAAGTTGAATTTTTTAAGTTACCTGTATTTTGTTTCTGTTATTTACTTAATCAAACCAACTCAACTGCAGTTCGATCGATATTACCTGGAATGCACAATAAAAAAGAAATGATTTACAAAAATTCATTAAAATGGAGATATCTGTTTTTGCAAACTCTTCATATGGATGTTTCTAACTGCTTGGGAGGCCTAGTTGTAAAGCTGTGTTAAAACTAACTTACTTCTACTTGGCTAGCTCTCACTGTGAATGTAGTGACAAAACTTTAGAGTATCAAAAATGAGGTTGCCAAAAAATTGATATCCGAATTGCTTTGTGTTTAGTGGTGATCAAACCTTGATAAGAACTGACTATATAGAAAATGTATATTATGTATCAATAACATCTTGCTGCTTAGAAAGGATCTAAATATACCTTTTACTGCCTTTACTGTCTTTGACCACAATGCAATGCTAATGGTGATTCCTTCATCTAAATCCTTTTTATTCCAGGTTTAGGCCTAACCTTGACTTGGCCTCCTGAATTGACATGGTCTGGGAAAATGGCATTTAGTGTGTGCTGTCTAGTAAGCTAAATAAATCACAAAAATAATAAGAGAAGTAATTCTGAGCTCTTGAACGGTAGTGCGTTACTGTCTGAAGTACAGTGGAGGACATGGGTGCAGGTGGAGTCAGTGTTACAGTCCTCCTCCTGACTCAGGGTGGGGATATGGTCATGGGAGCAGAAGGAACTGATCCTATCGATCAGCCTGTGATCTCGGTAAGCCAGCGGGGGCGATAGAGCTGGGTGGGGTGGGGAGGTGATGAGAGGTTTGATTATCTGCCAGTTTCTAAGCCCTAAGCAGCCCAGCACTTTCTGCACTGAGGCTAGGTTGACACAGGCAAGGTGAAGCAACTTCTGTTGTTCATCCAGGGAGAAATAAAGAGAGAGAGAGAGAGAGAGAGAGAGAGAGAGAAAGAGAGCAAGAAGCGAGAGATGAAGCAAGAAGAGAAAGAGAGAAAAAATGGGAAGCAAAAGGTAAGAAGGAGAGAGAGAGATAGAGGACAGGAGGTAGAGAGCAAGAGAGATACAGTAAACAAGAAAAGAAAGTAGAGAAATAAAGAGAAAGATATGGAGGGACGGAGACAGAAGGAGGAAGAAAAGAAAGATAGAGGAAAGGAGAGAGAGAGGAAGAGGAAAAGAGAGAAAGAGAGACAGTGAGAGATAAATAAATAGCAATAAAGAGCAAGAAGAGAGACAGAAAGAAATAGAAGAAGAAGAGAAATGAAGAGAGAGAGATCGAGAAAGTGAGAGAGAGAGAAAGAAGAGAGAGATAAAGCAAGAGAAGAGATAGAAAGAGAGATAGGAAAAGAAGAGAAATAAACAGACAGAGGAAGAGTGGGAGAGAGAGAAAAAGAGGAAGAAGAGAGATGGAGAAAAGAGAAAGAAAGAGAGACAGAGGAAGGAAGACAAAGAGAAAGAGGAAGAAGAGAGATAAGGAAAGAGAAAAAAGATATATGGAGGGAGAAAGACTGCAATGAAGAGCAAGAAGAGAGACGGAAAGAGAGATAAAAAAGAAAAGAAAGGGAGAAAGAGAAAGGGAGGGAGAGAGACAGAAAGAGGAAGAAGAGAGAGATGGAGAAAGAAGAGAGAGAGCAATAGACGAAGGGAGAGAGGAAGAAGAAGATATGGAGAAAGAAAAGAAAGAGTGATGGGGAAGGGAGAGAGGAAGAGGAAGAAGAGAGATAGTGAAAGAACAGAAATAAGGAGAGATAGAGGAAGGGAGGGAAAGAGAGAAAGAAGAAGAGACTGAGAAAGAAGAGAAACAGAGAGAGATCGAGGAAAGGAGAGAGAGAGAAAGTAGGGGAGAGAGAGAAGAAGAGGAAGAAGAGAGATAGAGAAAGACGAGAAATAAAGAGAGATAGAGGAAGGGAGAGAGAGGAAGGGTGAGAGAGAGGAAGAGAAAGAAAGATAAAGAAAAGAAAAAAGAGATATAGGAAGGGAGGGAAAAAGACTGATGAGCAAGAAGAGAGATAGAAAGAGTGATAGAACAAGAAGAGAAATAGAGAGAGAGATAGATGAAGGGAGAGCGAGAGACAGAAAAGGAAACTTGAGAGAGACAGAGAAAGAAGAGAAATAAAGAGAGAGATAGAAGAAGGGAATTAGAGAGGATGTGTGTGTGTGAGAGAGAGAAAGAGAGCGAGGATAAGCGAAAATGAAGAAAGGTGAGAAGCTTTTGGAGCAAATGGCCAGTAAATGTAAAAAGGCTCTATTTCTGGTCAGTGTGCGACACAGATACTAGCACATTTCCATCCTAAACACTGGATCCTTCTGTATTATTAATAAACTCCAGCAATTCGGTGCCCATTTCAGCTCCCACACTCTCCTACTGCGGCTAGAACGGAGCCTAGGTGTCTATAACAACGATATCCGAACAAACAGTGACTCCAGCTCGGCTCTCCACGGCTCTATAAAGCTCCTGAAGTCCCCGTCTGACTGGAGAACAGGGGGTGAGAGGGAGGGATGAAAGTGCAGAAATATCATCTGAACGTGCTTTTCCTGCAAAAACCTCCCTGTAGTTATTTAATGTACATCCCTTCAGCTCAGCAATCCTCCATGCAGGCTGTCTGATGATAAAGGACGCCAAGTTACCCGGGGGGAGCATTAAAATGTATCACTTAGATTAATACATTTCTTTGAACATGAGTGATCGCAGGTAAAGGCGAAGAGGAAAGAAATAGAGTCTGGAAGTGAAAAAAAAAAAAAACAATAGGATTATTGAACGGCTGTGTATGTGTGTGCGTGTGGCTGGAGAAAGAGACAGAGCTCTTCTTCCTCGGCTAGTGATCACAGCAGCCGAGTGTGAAAGAGGCAGAGAGTGCAGCACAGAGACTGTAGCATTCTATCACTCGCATAGAAAGAGAAGAGTCAGTGGATGAAATGCAAAAGAAAAGATGAGATGAGGGAGGATGGTGAGACATTCACAGCCAGTTTCCCTTAGAAAGATTTAGCAAACTGCGATTCTAATGCTGATTCACCATTGAAAATCCTTCTCTGTCCAGGCCAGTGGTGTAGTCGTGCCTGTAGCTCTGTGTACAGCTAAATATATTTTTGCTTTCCAAGACCACGGCTGGGTGCACCAGCTGTATGTAAGTTCAAACATAGGCTATAACATTCGTAGGGATGGGAATCGTGAGGATTGTACTGATACTCATAATGATACCAATATTGCTTATTGATACCGATACTTATCGTTGCTCTTATAGAAACTACTGTCAATAATTTGGTGCAAAAAATAAATACATGACATAAAAAGATGTGAATAGCTTAATAAACATTCAGAATGAATAGATGTGATCTCCCTAGTGTTGAGAACATTAACAGCCATCAGCAATACATAAACAGTCTCCCCTGGGTAGCCGGTGTGAAAGGTGCGTCGGACCACAGTCTGGACTAAAGGACCAAAATTTAGTCTGGCCAAAAGAGGTGATCTCAGTCTGGATCAAACTGAACATGGTTCGGTTCGTTTGCAGCGTGAAAACGCTTTTTTGGATGGTCTTTCGGACCAATCACAGGAATTGGAGGCAGGTTATCATCAGCCGTTAAAGAATAGAAGAAGAAAAATAACCAGGAGAGAAGTAAAAATGAGCTGCGGTAGCGCATGGGGAGAGAATGAGATTAAATATTTAACTGTAATTTGGTCTGACGAAAAAGTCAAAAGTCAACTTAAAAACACGCATAAAAATGACAAAATGTATACCTTGTTTTCTGAAAGGATGAGACAGAATTTTCTTTTTTCCCCCCATTCAAATGGAAAAGGCTACCCACCAAACTGACAACACATCGACATCAGACACACGCTTGTCTACAAACCGATCAATGTTAAGTATAGGGAGACGCAGCCCACGTAGGTGATGACAGGACGCAAGTGTGTCATGGGGAGTTCTTTAGTGTGACTGCCAAATTGCAATGTGAAACCAAAACTAACCAGATCAAATGTATACAATACTACCCACATAATAATACCTGCTCTGTGGTGGTCCTGTGGGGGTCCTGACCACTGAAGAACAGGGTGAAAGGAGGCCAACAAAATTTGTAGAGAAACAGATGGGCTACAGTCTGTAATCGTAGAACTACTAAAAGCACCCATATGGTAAGTGGGAGCTGATAAAATGGACAATGAGTGTAGAAATAAGGAGGTGTATTTAATGAAGTGGACGGCTGATATATAAACCAACAGAAACTACATAGAAGAAGACCAAAACCATGACCTGGCTTTTTTGGTCAGGATAACTAAACACTAAATGTTATGTGCCGTGATTTTAGGTGGTATTAACTTTCAGCTCCAAACATGACGCTAACCTCTGTAGCGTCAGTCATTTAAAATAAAAGCTGCACATTTGGGTGTCACAACAAAATATTTACAAACAAACAGGCAAATAACTACAATATGTCTTTAGTTCAACTGTAAACCTATATACACAGCATTCTCTTCTATACTCAGTATTTTTCTCCACAGAATGCAAAAAGTCAGTGCAAGCTGCCGTTGGGTTTCCATGGCAGCAGGTTTGTAGACACGCATTTGTTTGTTGTTACTAGTTAAGACATGCCTTAAGGATTTGTGGTGCAACTGAATTTAGTAAAAAGAAAGTGTGAAACTAACTAGTGTTAACTCCCTGCCATAGTCGCATCACAAGTTAACTAACCTTGGGTAAAGTAGCAGTGTTTCAGCTGTTAAGTAGGCTTGTAGTAATTTAACAACTACTCTTGTAAAACACAGACTAATAACTTCAAAAGAAGACCAAAACATTCGAAATTGAAAACTTGTATGAACAGGAGAGCTGTTACGGATGTCATAATTTCAAAAAAGTTTATTAATAAATACATAAATTCCATGTATAACCATTTATTTTGTGCTTTCTATGTTGTGAGGGGGGAAAAAGGAGCCTTGATCTTCAATACAAAGAAGTTTATGCAACTAATTATATACAGTACTGTGCAAAAGTCAGAGACCACCTTTAATTTAATTCAACCAAATCAGACATGAAGTTACAAGGTACTTGTTTTACAGGATATTTGCATTGGTGTTTTTCCACATCACCAGAATCTTTGCATTTTTTGGTTCTCATGATCCAAGTAATCCCAAATATATTCAGCCAGGTTGAGCTCTGTACTCTGAGCTGGTCAGTTCATTGTTCTGAGAACACCAGCAGCTTCTTTGTTTGATTTACAAATGTTCTTCTTTGTGTATTTTCTTTTCTCAGTGAGGACGTCTTGACGGCTACACATCCTTTCAGACCCTTTCCTCCCACAGCGCTGAGTTATTTTCTCACGGTGGAAGGATGGACAGAATCAACTTTGGATGTTTTCAGATCTGAAGCAAGAGTAGAGCTCGATTTTCTCCTCTCTCTCAAAGACGAACATGTGGTTTATCTGATGGTGACCGTTTTGGTGTCTACCAGGTCTTCCAGGTGGTTGTTAGGAGTCCCATTTTCTCTTTGGCTTATAATCATTCTTCCATTTTTGAAAGCTCCTGTTTTTCCTTTTCCTGTATGTAAGTGGATTGTCTTATATCTAATTTCCTCAGTAAACTTTTTGCAACTGCATTTTACTGGCAGTTATGACTGGAAATTCAATGAATGTAGGGTCCCTAATTTTTGCACAGTCCTGTACATATAGTGTATGGCACACTGAGTCTATATGTGCTGAGCTGGTGCATCTTTGTAGTATACCCACTTTTTTCCTTGGGACTACACCACTGGTCCAGACTTAAGCCTAATTTACCTCTGGGAAAATGGCCCAATAAATATATATGATTTAAATGTAAATAAAATAAAAGTAAGGAAGTTTCAAGGTGACATTGTGTAATATTATTTCATTCATGTACCCATTTGGATCAAGTCAATTCAGAGCATGAACTGTTTTCCAGCGTAGAGAGACACCAGACATCACAACAGACAAAACAATTGAAAAGAGAAACAAATCAAATTAAATGAAATCAAATCAAAACTCACATGAATATCCAAACTCATCACTCTTGCCTTTTGGTTCAGGGGACTTCTGAAATAGGGAACCTACAAGGGAGGGCAAGGGGAGGAGGAGGAGGAGGTGAAAATCAAATTTAACACAATTTGATTGAACAAAGCTCAGACAAGGAAACAAAGGCAAGAGTAATGCTGATGCAAAAGAGCCATTCTTCTCCATTTGGTGTCACTTTGGCCCGTCTCTCTCCTCCCGCTCGCCCAGACGGATGAGGGGCAGCGGGCAGGGGCGCGAGAGCAACGCCGCCATCCGTCAGGCGCGTTTTAGTGCTTCATTAGGACTAATGACCGCGTGCAATGGATTGTTTTAAGCTGATAAACAGGCTCTGAGTCAATGAGTCAAAGGCACTTAGGGCCTAACATCTGCCAAGAAGGCTCTGAGAAATCACTCCGCTCTCTCGCTCGCCGTGGAGGTGGACGCCATTAGCACATGGGCCTCTTGCTAATGTAGCATGCTGGAAAGGGTGCTAAATCAAATCGGCGCTGACTTAGAACAGGGCAAGCAGCAGAGCCCGACAAGAACAGCACATCTGCATAAACTGAATCAGAGAGACTCACGGAAAAAGAAAGAGAAAGAATATAGACAGCAAGAAGAAAGAGACAGAACAAGAGAGAACAGTAAAAGAAAGACACAAAGTGAGAGATAAAGAAGGGAGAGAGCAACAGATAGAATGAAAGAAAGACAGAGCGAAGGAAGCAGGAATAGAGAGAAAAAAGACATACGGAGAGAGAAAGAGAGAGAAAAAAAAACAAAGCAAAAAAAAAGACAGGGAAAAACAGTAAGAAAAATAAAAAGAGATAAATGAACAGAGATGGAATAAAACAGAAAGAGACAGAAAGAAAAAGAGAAAACAGAAGTAGAGAAGGATGAGAGAGAAAGAGAGAGGAGAGAGAAAGAAAGCAAAAGAGAGAAACTGAAAGAGAAGAAAGAGAATAAAAGAGAGAGAAAGAGAAAAAGAGAACAAGACGAAACAGGGAGAGAGGGAGAGAGAAAAAAGAAAAAGACAGAGTGACAGATAAAGGGAGGCAGAGAGAAAGATAGAGGTAGAATAAGGGCAAAGAGAAAATAAAAAGACAGATAAAGAAAAAGAGAGAGAGAGAGTGAATGAAAGAAAGTGAGACAGAACAAGAAGTGAGGGTAAGGAAAAAAATACAAAGAGAGAGATAAAGGAAGGGGAGAGAGACAGAGAGAGAGGGAAAGAGAATGAAAGTGTGAGACAGAGCACAAAGAGAGAGAGAGTGAGAGAGAGAGAGAGAGAGAGGGAGAGAGAGAGCAGCGTCGCTCCAGGCCACAGAGTTAGAGAGCTGTTAAAATTCGGGGGAGAGTCAGAGGCGAGTGAGAAATAAGAGAAAAACACACAAACAATGAACTCTTTGTGCAGATGCAGTCGGCGGAGGAGACAGGTAGGTAGATATATCGACGGACAGCAAAATCAATCGCTTGACGGATGGCGGCTTTACGTCCATGTAATCAAACATGAAAGAGAGAGTGAGAGAGTGCAGCAGAAAGACAGAGAAGCAGAGAAAGTAGAACAGACAGAGAGAGAGAAAGACAGAGAGAGAGAAAGAGAGAGAGAGAGGTGGAGGACAGAGATGTTGGAGATGGGTTGAATGATATGACTTGTGGTCAGGGCATTTGTTTGATCTGCTGTGTGAACTCACTCTTCCTAATTTGGTCAAAGTAAAGAACGTTGCCATTAGCAACCGTGTATACACTCTGTCTCTCAGACGTGACATCATGGAGGAGGAAGGAGAGTGAACAGTACTCAGCGTTTTAAATTCTAAATCAAATTTACACTAATTTACCCTCAGCTGAAATGTAGACAAATGTAGTGTTTGACATTTGCTTTAATTTTACTCTGGAGCTAAAAGGCTAATGTAACTAATCGAAGCTTATAATAAAGAATTTCTAGTGAGGGGATCTGCCTCTCAGTATTATCTTCTGGGTGTGTCAGACTCTAGATGGTGCTCCTGAGTGAGTCCATAATGAATGGGTTCCTATGGAGCTTTAGTTTGTAAATGCTTAATATTTGTATTCAGAAAAATGTACTCGTTTTCTCAACAGAGAACAGCATGAATATTTAAAGACTGCTGTCATATTTTTGGATGTGCTTCTGAAAAGCTATAGGAGCGTTTTACATCTCGTGGTGTCAGCAAACAGTAAATGCTTCCCTCAGCCAATGACCTGATCGGGGGCAAGATTAACAAAAGTCCTAATAAAGAAAAACGTCTTATATTAAGAAGTCATTCCTTCTTAAAACACACTTACGCAGTTTTCATTGATGTTTTTAGTGGAACACATCCTTATACTTTGCCAAATAAAAGTATGTTCCTACATGAATGGCTATAAAAGTTCAACAGTCCTTTTTTAGCCATTCAGCTGCTTCCACGGCTATTCATTGAGGGCTTGCGGGCGCCACTTTATAGTCATATTTTTGGTATGACAGGAGAAAGCGGAAGTGGCCAGGCTAATTATACTTCATCACTATACACCTAAATCATTACACACTAAGCACAAACTGTGTTGAGTTGTTCAGTAATCTCAAATATACTTGCTTATGTGGTTTTTGACACATGTTGGAAGATGCTTTGATATGTCTGCTATTGTTTTCAGCAGTGCAATGTACATTACTATGTAAATGTCAGAGACCACCCTTCATTTCTTAAATTTTCAGTGAAAACAGCCATCAAGCTATTCATTTTTCAGTGTTAGGAAAAAATCACTAAACTTCTATTAAGCCTCAACAACTAAATCTAACTTCCATTCTTTTCAGAAGACTTGCTTTCAGTTTTACAAAGAAATCTGCAGGGTTTTTTTTCCAATACCTCCAAAGTTGGTTGCATTTTCTGCATCTCACAATCCAAGTAATCCCACAAACATTCAGTGATGATGAGGTCTGGACTCAAAGGTGGTCAGTCCATTGTTCTGAGAACACTTCTTCGTTTGATTTACAAATGTCCTTCTTTTTTGTCTATTTCCTTTTCTCAGTAGTGGCTTGACTACACTTGATTGACTACACTTGAAATAAGCGGAAAACTGTATGAATCATTTTTTTCTCTTGGGTATTTGTCTGAACTGTTTCCTGAAAACAGAATTGGGCTTTGCTAATGAATGCTTTTCTAATGAATCCTATCATCATTTCAGCTTCTTACAGTCACGTTCCATTACAAGATGATCTGAAAGCAACTCTTGGAGATTAACTTACATGGCAAAGCTTTTTTTGGTTATGCCAAGTAGAAAGAGGAGGAGTAGTTGGGTTGAATATGACCTTCTATACTGTATTTTCGCTGCAGCTCCAACGCTTGAGAAAAAGCCTGTATTTGCCCTTGTGTTCATGTCTGTCTTACCCTTTCTGCGAGATCGATATGTCAAGAAAATGTCATCTGTCTGTGGGTTGAGTAACCAAAGCCCTCAACAGGAGTAGCATAACAAACAAAGACTGCCAAAAAAGCACAAAAACAGCCTGAGCGGGAAATCCGAAGGGGAAATATAAGTCTAAATATGAAATAACACCGCTTTGCATTCAATTTGACTTTGGATGATATGTGGCCAGTAACACAGCCTGACAGCTTGTGAACTGAAGAACGGCTGTAGCTATTATCCTGAACCAGCACTCTGTACTGTGTAATACATTACTCTCCTAAGTCTGCATGCACTTCTGGGAAGAGGAAATGTAAAATTCTATACATAAATGATTTGCAGCAACAGTGAAAGGCTCTGTTGCGGGTGAGATCAGGGTCCAGTTGGAGCTAGGTGAGTTCACATATCACGCAAAAAACCATTCCCAATGATATCTGCAATAATGTGAGCTTTTAGATAATGTGGATTTCTCCTAAATGCACAGCAAAATGGTCATTAGCATGGACATAAGTGGTTTCACCCTTTTAGCTCGGGGAGAGAGAAAAAAATCAATCAGGGGAAGTGAGCCTAAATCTATATCGTTATGGGTTTTATATTCTCCACAAACTAGTCATCAATCTGACACAGAACTAATGCTCCTGCAATGGGTTTCACAAAAAGGCGGGGAGGACTGCACAGCAGAGAAGAGATCACACGCCGTGTAAATCTTGCATCTAGAACCTCAAGGCTGCTTTTCGTTATCTCATGCATACATGAGCTATACAGACGGATCGATCCCGCTGTTCAATAGGGTCATTAATACGCCTCTCATTTACATGCGGACGTTCTTAAAATGAAACCGACATAATTAATTGGATTTCTTAATGATATTAGTGCGATTCTTTTAATCAATCTCCTTTTGATCCCTGTAATTCTTAAAGTTGCAGTATGAGCATGCTCAAAACTTGACCTTGGGCGGATTCACGCATCAATAACATGAAACCAAAGGTTCATATTCAAACAGAAACCTCTACGGTTTTTATTTTATTTTTTAACCCAAGGCAAGGCTTACAACATGTGGGCTAAACACACGCAAATTACTAGTCTTTTCTATATGAGTCTATTTTCTCTTAAATGAGCCAAACTGGCATTTTAAACTTTTAATTGCAAAATCAGTTGCCTATTTAAATAACATAAATCATAAAACAGTGAGCAATCAAAAGCAAGAGGCAACTATTTAGCAATAATTATGCTAAATTATTGCTAATTCAAATACTATATATTCTAATTCAAATACAGCCTGAGAGCACCAACAGTGAGGGGAACACGTATTCAGAAACTCTTGTTTTTGTTATTTAATATACTTCCAGCGCATATATCCCTCTTGACTTTGTACTCATAAATATCAACAAAAAGGTACGTATTCATTAGTATAAACAAGGTTTACACGACAAATTAATAACATCAGTGCTTTGTTGCAAAGCTGTTGGCAGTTACAGCTTTGAGATGTCTACAGTAAGTGGCTTTTTGCAGCACTGTGGTTTAATTTTGGCCCATTTCTCTTGGTTAAGCATCTTCAGTTTGCCAGCATTATTAGGGTTCCTCTGGTTGACTCTCAATTTCAAAATCCCCTAAGAATTTTAAATGGGATTCAAGTCAAGAGAACAGCTGGGCCATGCAAGCACCTTCACTTTCTTTCCTTCAACAAACTAGAATTTAGTCTTGAGTTATTTTGGCTGTCATCTTGGTGAAATGTTCAATTATCCACAGATTCATTTGCTTTGAAGATGAGCATTAAACTCTCCTATAATATGTCTCGGTTCATTGGTCCATTCATGAGTCTTTCAAAGATGTACAGTGCCCCAGTACTGTTTGCAGTGAAGCAGCCCCGTATCATGATGCTCCCACCATCGTACTTCACTGTGGGTTGCTCTAAGCTGATCATACGTGCAAACCTTATTCCTGCAAACGTGATGAGCTGAATTATTACCAAAGAGTTCTATTTTTGCTTCGTCTGACTAGTGTACATTGTACCCGAAGAGTTCTGATTTATCTAAATGCTCATATGTAAATTTTAGACATGCTTTTCTAGGAGTTTGAACATAGATGACTGAGATGCAGTTCACTGCTTACTGTTCTCTGTGTAACTGCTGTTCTGCTACTTTCAGGTTGTCTTGCAGCTCTTCTTGAGTGAGAGTTGGCTTCTCACTTACCTTCCTGATCATTAGCCTGAGAGAAATCTTGTATGGTGCACCTGTTCAGGGACGATAAGCTGTGGTTCCATGAACTTACTTGCATGTTACTGAACCAGTTGTACTGACAGAGACGTTTAAGATCTTTGCTAGGGCTCTGTAGCTTTTTCCATTTGAGTGTTTTTAGTAGTATACACACTTGTTTGTTCAAGTAGTATAACTATGTGTGTAAATTTGAGGTGGATATATGCACGGTAAGTCCATTAAATAACAAAATCAAAAGTGTCTGAATACTTGTTGCCCTTACTGTACCTGACTCAAATGATTCATTTCTACAGAAACTGCACAGATTGTCCAAAATAAAAATAATATACTGGTTAAATGCCAACCACAAGTTTGCAACAAAAAAATCGGCCAGTTCCCATCTTGGCTGATTCTGATTATGCATCTCTCCTCTTTATTTTCTCAACCATTTTTCATCTCCCAGACTCCTCCGCAGGAAAACCAGCGTGAATGCGGACTCTTTTTCCACATATGCATATTTTAAACTCATGGACAGTTTATATCTTGCTTTTTTTAAAATCTGCACAGATTGCATGCTGACTCAGTACACGTTCTCGTTTTCGCCTGCGTCCTAGAGGAAACTGGCAGACTACCACCAGCATGGCCCGGCCAGCCCAGGAGGGAAGGGCTGGGGGATGTGGGGGGGGATTAGCAGATAAACACACAGTAAACACTGGGGGAAAAAAATATCAAACTTTACCCAACTCTGGAGAGGCCTGAGCAGCAATGTTTTAAATTTCTTCCGGCCTCTGCAGCCCTTGAATATATAATAAACGCAAAGCAGGGGAGGCCTGTTGGCTCAGCATGACATGCAGTTTTTGCTTTATGCAGCTGGAAAAAAAAAAACAGCGCTTAAAAAAATAATTTAAATAATGCTTCTCCGCCCACGGAAAAATCTCCTTCCCAAACACAGTGGGGTTTGGATTTTTCTTTTTTTTGGGATTCTTTTTTTTTCGGGTTCATTTTTCTTTTTTCTCTTTTTTCGTGAGGAGTTTGCAAGGAGGAAAACAATAAAGATTAATGGTATGATTACAAAGCACTAACAGAGACAGAGGCAAGTTTTTTCCCCACTTTTTAGAGTTTTAAACATCGGCGGAGTGCAGAAGAGGTAACTTAAAATACTTGCCTGCTTGTCAACACTTATAATTGGCTCCCTCGGAACAAAAAAATCAAGTAAAAACAAGTGTGTGCTGGTACAACTGTACCACGGCCCCAATCTCCATTTCCCTCTCAGTCGCTGAAACTTGCGCTTTCAAATTAGAGCCCAGATCATAGTAATCAAAGACGCTTAGCAATTCTGAAACTTTTCTATAAGTACATTATAATCACTTACCATTATTTTAAATATAGCTCCTGAATGGTGGGTCTGTGACGAGGGTAATTACTTTCTGTAATGCTTCGTGGGTTGAGCCGTGATTTAACACTCATGCGTTCTATATTTACTCCCTGCGGTCGGCACGGCCGAACAAAGCTACATATTGTTTTCTGGCTGAGGATCATTTCTCCCACTCCAGCATCCATAGATCTGCCCTCCTATGGGCTATAATGTGAGTGTGGTAAAGAGTCAAGGAGAAGAGAAAGAATTAGAGCACCACAGGGAGGCAAAAAGAGTGAAAGAGTGGAGGCAGAAGGAGTATGCAGGGCTTCACTTTGTATGGGGCATGTACACACTCTTCCCCTTGTGTGCTAAACTTAGAGCAGGGATTTACATTTTCCAAGTATGTACAGTGTGGAAGAGAAGGTTCTAGGAGGTATGAAGGCCATCACTCACTCTGCATGCAAAGGCCGTCGGTACAGTTCTTGGACTGGAGCACCATGCCCTCGCAGTCTTTGCCTCCATTTTTAGGGGCTGGCGCGCTGCACTCTCTTCTCCTCCAGTGGGTGCATTCTGTTCCACATGTTGACCACTTGCTCCATTCCGTCCACAAGCCGTCCACTAGAAATATAGCAAGAAAAAAGTGGGGCATTGCTGTAGTCAAACCACAGTCATCTCTGGATCATCGCTGTCATAAGAAAGCATACCATCTTCATTTTGTTTGGTCTTTTTTCATTTTTTACACCATCTAAAGACGCCAGCCGCACCTTCATATTTATTTCATCAAGAATGGACCAACAGAGGTGGTCTGAAATTATCTGAAATAAAATCTCATTACATTAATGCAGTCTACAAAGCACACAACTATATTCTTTTTTTAAATATCTGACCAGAATTTTGATTTAGGAGTATCCGTGTGATGACTGGAATAGCCTACCACTTCTTTATACTTGAATACAACTGTGCAGAGTTTTTTTTCTATGATGTGTTCCACTGGCCTTGAACAGTCCTATATATACAGAACAAAATAAGAATATTAGCTTATTGACTAACAATATGCCTAAATAACCTGTTAACTAAGACTCTCTTCTTTCTTCTTTCACTCTTTGCTGTGGTCTCACAGAATTGAATGTAAATGGGTTAAAAAGTTTGATTAACTGAGCGCTCTGCTGTTATTATCAAATACAGCACCATTAAATTAAAGCTAAGTGTGTTGATTCGTACACCGACATTAAACAGGCTACCAAAACGGATGCTAAGCAAAACAACTGCCCTCTTAAACAACAGAAAAAATCTCCCAAATGGTTTAATTTGATTGCATTGAGAAGTTAAAACTATGGGAAAATGTGTTTCTGTAGAGTTTGTAGGCATGCTAAAAAGATCGCGGCATCAGGGCTGTTTGAAACAAAAAGACGGGTAGCAGCCTGAACACCGCACACTCGAACTCCCTCGGCTCTAAAACGACTCTTCGTTGGGTTGCACTGACAGCTTTTTTAATTATCTCAAAGTTAGCTGCATTAAAATATAATCTGTCATTGCAATTTTAACAAGTCTTAGTCTAGATTCTAGAATCTAGAATATTGCAGTACATTATAAAACACTCTTTCAATAAATGTGAAACTATCAAGATGTAACAGTAAGAAATGGCTGTCCAACAAAGGGCAAACGTACAAGAACTGCTGGTACAAAGACATACTTTGTGCTACTTACATAAAAGACGGGAACACAGATTAAATAAAAACTGAAAGAACAGATCATGATAAATACTGAATGACTACAAAAATAATAGTTCCTAACATTTAGTTAATCCTTAAGGGCTTGGACAATGTATGAAGAATCTGATTGCTGAATTAAACATTCTCTCTGACTGAGGAATAAAGAAAAAGAGGAAATAAAAAAGTTTTTGCTCATAGATTTTTCTGCGCGCTCCTGTTTCAAATCAGGAGCTCCTTGGCAAAAAGCCTACCACAGAACCCTGCATTACTACTTTAAAGCAGCTGAAGTAGTTTTTTTTTTACTTGTCCTATAAAGTTACCATGTTGCAGATTTGTGGGTTTCCTTCCAGCACTAACAATATACAATACCATTCAGAAAGAATCACTTTCAATAAAATAAAACCAATTTGGTTGCAGATAAATATAAAAGTATAACAGTACTCTAATATCCTAGTCCTTTTCCAACTTCACAGATTTGAAATAATTCTAGATTCAGATAGATGAACAGAGCTGTAGAAGATTCTACAATGAGAACTTTGAGAACACTGAGAATTAAGTTAGAAGAAAATGCATCACAATTCAAAAGTGGGGATTAAATCTAAAGGCAGATCACTAAAAAAATACTTAAATATATAATTCAAGTGTATTATTTATCATTTAATATCTTCTTGTTCACAGAGTCCTTGAAATATTGATTAAAACTAAAATACCTTTCGACAAATAGTTTGTAATGTGTAAACCTACACTGTATACGTTACTGTTCTATATAAAACAAGACTAACTGTTAACACAGCAAGTGATTATAAACTTAGCATACAACTCAGTGCTTTGTAGTCGTATTATATCGGAGTTTGTATTCACAAACCACAGGGCAGAAGTGCTGATCTGAGAGCTGTTGTTGAGACCAAAACCACTACACTGAAAAAATGGTGTTGAATTCACTAGAATCAAATATGTTCCACATGAGTAAAATGTATTACATTAACATATTCTTGCCTACAGCAAGTAACTTGAAAGAACTAATGTATTTTTATGTGGAAATCATGTACAAATAGCAGAGAAGGAAGCTGAGACTAGTTAAGCAATGTTCACCAGATGCTCGGTCAACAGTATCTAAAACGGACAGAACTGAAAATGGAGGGGTTCTTATTGGGAATGATACCTGGACATAATGGGTTGCAAGCCAGTTTCTGGATGGCCTGGCCTTCACATATGGCTCCTCCGTTGAGTGGTGCTGGGTTGGTGCAGCTGCGCGTCCTCTTCTGGAAGCCTCTCCCACAGCGGCTGTTGCACGCCGACCATTCGGTCCATGTCGACCAGCCTCCATTCACTGTTGCCGCAAAAAACAAGAGCCAGAAGTTTTTTTGTGGAGTTTACATGCTTGGGGGGATCAAAGAGTCATTTGAAATAAGCTGAGACGTCCATTTGCTATTCATTATGCATCTCTTTCTTTGATGAGAACAGAGAGGGAAGCTCTAAAGGACTGAGTATGTTTTTCCACTGCGGTGGCTATTTTTCACACAACTACTGTGGCTCCAGAGACAATGGCAAAATCCATCCCTCCCTACTTTCTATGACAGAGCACAACTCAAGAGGCTGGGGCTGGGAAAGAGATTGTGGCTTTGGACAACTTATGTCTTCTTCTCACAGCGTGAGAAGTGATGCGCTTTTGGGCAAACCATGGAATGAGCGACTTGAAGGAAGCAAAGCAGAGCGGTTTCTTGTTAAATCCTGGGGTTTCCACCCCCTCGCTCTTGCTCTTTTTTGCTCTCTCTGTCTTTGTCTGTCTACCCAAGGCTTCTTCTGAAGCTCCTTCTTGTGGCTGCATTGGAACTTCTGCGGGTCTGATGTGCCCCCCCCGCTGTTCGTGGTCTAATCAGAAGATGCGCTCCTTATCTCGGCCGGGCTGAGCCGCGCTCTCCCTGGACCTTCCACAGCCGCGGCCGTGTGACGCAAGCGCTCTAGAAGGACGGATTGCAGTGCATTCTTCGGAGGATGAGCCGACTTCAAAGCTCCTTCCTCTCCGTTCTGTCCTAATGGGCCGCAGTTTAGAGCTGAATAGGCAGGCTAAGGGATTGTGACCCCCGTCCCCCCCAAAAAATCCAGGCCGGATTTCTTTGCGGCTTTTTGCAATTGCTTCTCTTGGACTTGCTTAAGCCACACATGGTGAAACCCATGAAACCCCCCCTTTCCGTAATGTTTTTTTTCCTCCCTTTTCCTAGCAATAACAAAGCAAAGGCATAATGGTAATGGAGGGGAAAGAACTTAAAATAATGGAGCTGCGCTAATCCCTGAGCTTTCAGGGCCGCACGAGTGATTTAAAGCCCGGCTCAGGCTTCAGACAGGAAGTGAACAGTCAGAGATTAAGGTGAAACTTGACCCTGGTGACATCACCTGCTCCTATGGGCCTATGGCCGACGAAAAGGGAGTGAGGAGAAATTTTTTTACAGACGAATTTGGGACTTGGGAGAGTACAGTAATGCAAAACCTACTACATTTGGTTTCTTGCTAAATGATCTTAAAAATCATTGAAAAAGATTAATATAAAGTAAAATAATAACGTATGCTTTGTTTTAGGAACTGACCATTAGTGAACAATTTAAAGTGGAGCAGGCGCAGATTATCCCATAGGCGAGGTTAACTGTAACAGACTGAGGAGTCAGTTGCTAGATAAGTTGGGTAAATCTATGCATACACAATTAATTCAATGTTGTTAGCATCAAACCAGCGTTACAACCAAAATACATAAAAATATATGCGTCAAAATAAATATTATTCATGAAAAAAGGCAGTGTAAAATACTGGCAAATCATAAAAAAGGGCTATATCTTGCATCTATCTCTAATAAAACAGAGATATATTCTATTTACATGACATTTGGTTTATTAAATATTCCAAAAAATCAAAGTGTGGATCAAATCATTAATATGGACTTCTCTCATTGTTTCCTTTTGGAGGCTCAGTTGTAACACTATGTTAAAACTAACTAACATTTTGTAACATGATTTAGGTTGTGCCCTGAGCTCCCCTACAACTCATGAGAATTCCCTGTTCTTTGGTAATGTAAAGGTCACACAATCTATAATACATTATAGAACTACATTGTTATATTCCTTTTATTTATGTGTTTGAGTACTAGCCATAAGATCATTTATTACCTTTTTTTAATTCTTAAATGACTAAGTCTTAAATGTAGGCCCTCTCCGTTTTGTTCTAAGATTGTCACATTTGGTTGATACGCCTTTTCCAGTTAAAACCAATATTAAAAACACCTTCAAAAAAACACATTTCTGGCCTTCAGACAAGCAACAAAAAGAACGGTGAGCAGTCAAGAGCAGCAGACTCACTCCTCCTTCGGACAAAAATGAGGTGGCGGTTTCTTTGCAGTTGCTACTGTCTCTCAGAAGTGTCGTCTCTCAGAAGTATTCTCTTTCCTCCTGTTTGAAACAGTTGCAGTTCCACCAGGCTGATCTCATCACCCACTTCGCTCCCAACCAATTGCAAAGCAGAACCCTCTTCCATTCACCTTATTTTGGTGCTTTGGGTCATTTTTTTCCTAGACTGGGGAGCAATTCCACCGAGTCCCAAAATGAGGAAAGGGAGTCGATTTATTACTTGGAGGGAGAGTGAAAACAACCAGTTGGAGGGTTTAAGCGGGCCTGGGATTTGATGTGAAGAAAAACCAGCTATGATGGCAGCAGGTGGGAGGCTTTCACTTGTTGGGGATATCTTTTTTCCACTGAGAGAGTTTTATCTCCCCTCCCTTTTTTACAGTAGGCTTGCAGCTACCGTGCTTTGACTTCCCATCACATCAGCCCATCAGCGCAAACGCCGGGTCGTGTTCAGTGGAGGATTTCCCTCGTGTTACTCCTTCAAGATGTCGACAATTGTCTGAGAGCATCAGCAGGGGGTCCTCCTTAAAATGGTTCCAGCTTGTCAGCACATCTAGCGCCTCTTAAGAAGAAACGTCTTCCTGCTCTGGGGAGCTCTGAGGCGGGAGCAGACTTGAATAAGCCTTATGAAGTGACGGACTAAGGTTAGAAGAGAGCTCCTGCCACCAAAACAGCTCGGTTCAAGACTCAATCCCTGAGTAATGAGCAGCACAGGAATCTATCCAAGCTTCTAATCACACACTGGCAGGCTTGGTAATTAAAATCAGGCTACTGCCTCCAACATCTTCATATCAAAGTTAAAATGACTAGATAAAGATATCAGAACAAACTTGAGTCTAGATCAGACAGTCAAGAGGGATAAATATCTAGTGGTACTGAAATGTGAAGTGGTTGGTTTAAGGTCAACATTACCATAGACTATAACAGTGGCTGTGGTACTTCTCCTCTTGGCCACAATGTTCTTGGCTACACAGGTGTAGTTGGCGGTGTCGGACAGACGAGCTTGTTTGATGATCAGGTTGTGATCGATGGTGATGTAGAAGTTACGGTCGTCCGCGGGGTCGATGACCTCTTCGTTCTTAAGCCACTCCACCTGCGGACACAAGACAACCAAAGGCTCTGAGTCACAGCCGGCTGCTGCGACAATAGATACATTTTCATATGGACATTTTCACATTAAGCCAATCTGCCTTCAGAAAAAAGTAAAGTATTTAATGGCACTGCTCACAGTTCCCGCTTCCATCTCCTCATAGTTCCCGCTTACATTTCAATAAAGCAAAATAACGGCGGACATGTTTATGTCTGCAAAGGCCGAAGTTTCATAAAACGTCAATACCTATCATGTTCTCTTTTTATTCGTCCCAGAACAAAGCGATGTAGCCCTGTCAGACATGCTGTGAAGGAAATACAGTGTTATTCTTGGAGCTTAAAGCCTCCTCGACCTCGCCTTATGAGCTTCCTATTTCCCAATGATGCCGATATTGGACCTGAGGTCATATCTGGCGAATGTGTAACTGTTTGGAAGCTTTATTTGACCATAAATCAGCCTGATTTTTTCCTGCTCAGCCCTGGGGAGGCAGCGCCACAGACTGTGGCCAGTCAATACTGCGGTAGACAGAGCAGTGTGTCTGGGATGGCTGAGATCTATGGTGAGCTGCTAACGTGCTCTGCTATCATGTGTCTGGAGGCTGCTTGGCCCGACTTCTGAGGTGTTTGTAGGGGGAGGCAGTGAAAACCAGTGAGGTGTCCAAACTGCTGACCATTAAGGGTCATAGCTGGCTCTCAATATTGTTGTGCTTTAGAGAGCAGGGGATGGTTGGGAACAGTAAAAGCTTTCCGACAGTACAATACATTTATCTTTTTTTTTTGAGGGAAAGAGGCAGAGAGTGGGGAGAAAAAGAGAAAGAGCATCTGATTCAGCCAAGCAAGGTCATTTCGATGTGCTGACAGTTTAATAAGAAGGTTTTTACTGACTTGTAAAACTAACGTAAACACCTCAAAAACATCGCTAGGGCTCTTCTGGGACTTTTTAGTGCCACTCTACATCTCAAGGATTTTCCAAAGGCAACAGATAGACTGTCTGATTCTCTCACAGAAAGCCTAGCACTACAAATCTGTGCAGCTATCATCCTCATCAAGCTATCAGCATCAATGTCAAATGCATGGATGCAGAACAACTACGAGGGCAGGAGGGGGAAGGTCAAAAAGATGCTACTGAGATGGACAACCAAAAATGCATGTGTCCGTCTTCTGGGAATAGCACTTTTGTTTGAATAAACAAAAAAAGTGAAGATAAGATTAGAAGCGTGACTGAAAAGAGAGAATTGCTGAGTCGACAGCAGTGTGTCTGCAACGCAGCGTGCTTTTAAGAGTCTCTGCTATTCGTGTGGAAAGACAATGGGCACAGTGCTCATCCACAAGCAGCCAGTCTGTCTTTTACTGTGAGCAAAATCCGAGCAGGCTGATTCACTGCTGGCCTTGCTTGATTCACCCCGACACTAAAAATACCATTCTGTTTGATGGCTTCCTCAAGTCATTAAAGGGATCAGCTTATGATAAGAGCAAACTATTGCATATGATCGGCAATTTTCTATTTTATCGTTTCCCATTATTGTTTATAAATATTTAATAAGTCTGCGTGTGTGTGCGTGTGTCTTAGTGTATGCGTGCGCACTGTTTTGCAGGGCTGGCTGACGGAAAAGGCTGGACATGCAGTCATGTGATGCTGTTGTGAGCTGTGATATCCTATACACTCCTGCATTCCCTTGATACTGGGCTTGATACCAACCCCCTTGGGCTCCTCCACTGCTGTGTAAGGCTCTTAGCCCTCCACACTTACTGACCATGGAGACTCAGTGACGTTAGAGCACGTTCATAAGCTTTAGGACAAGCGTTGTGTTGCTTATTGTTAAGGGTGGCCAATATGGCAAAAATAAAACATCATGATACTTGACATTTTCCTAATATGTATCATGATATTTGTTTTTTCTTAAGTGTACCAACAAGTCAGAATGAAAATGCACCAGAAAGACAGCAGCACTTTTAAAAAGGGCTTGAATAAGATGTGCAAAAATAAACTAGTAACAAACACAAGGAAATAAGTCCATAAATTAACATAACAGCATACTGGGCTGACATTTCATCAGCTGCTTGTTAATACTGTGTAATTGGTTTAGATCGTAATCTGCACATTTTTGCTCCAAAGTCACAAACGTCAATTTACTATCTGGCCAAACAGTGTTGTAGTTTAAATCATGTAAAAATGTATGCCTCTAATTATTTACCTTTGTGTTTCTAAAACAGCACTTTATTCAACTCACACTATTTAATTAAGCGACTACTGTTATGAATAATTATATTGCTACTCCTTGTTCAGTCTTGAAAATATATCACAGCACCTCCCCTTCCCTTCCCCACGGGCCAGCCCACACACCAAAATACACATTACAGAAATTACAGAAGAATAATCGAATACTAAGTCTAGTCACTTAATAGGATGACTTGGCCTGCATTCCTTAGTTAGCATTCCTTAGTTAGCCTTACATTTAGCCCTCCCTCAGTAACGAGTTCACCCAAATAGATATTCGCAACCTTTATCTCCGTGGGGGTGGAGCAAAAGGCAGCCAAGTACAAGCAGTCTTCATCTGAGGTGGTTTTGGAGGGAACACATAGTTCAGTAAACGGATAACTAAACGGATAACGTTTGTTAGTTGCATAGTTTGTTTTTTGCAACTGTGAGCGATAAGTGACAATATATTGACTGAGAAGCAAGAAGGGGTTGGAAGGGGTGTTTCATGTGTTCATTTAACAAACACAATGTGAGCTTCACGTTTGAAGAAAAAGGCTAATAAAAATGGTCTAAAAAAGCCCACTGGCCAAATTGGCTCTACAGAAATCAGAATCGGTTATAAAACTCACAGTTGCTGCACTACTAGATTAATACACAGTTTAGGCAGATAACAATCACTTGTTTGTGAGTTCAGACCATGACTTTAACATATGACTGTAGTAAGAGTACAGACTGTATGACTGAGGAAGGGGAAAGAACTCTGAGAACCTGGGCTAGATATCTTGTCAGCTCCAGCTTTGAGTTAGAAGTCCAGTCCTCCCTTGAACAGAAGTATGACTAACAGGTAGAACTGAGGAACAGGGAGGAGACGGGGTGCAAAACTTCATGCAAAATGTAAGATAAAAATGGAAACGTGTAGGACGTTAGATTGGACCAAATTTGTTGTTGTCTGTTTCTATAACTGGCCTCTATAATTGGTCATTTTTATTATACAAGTAATTGTTCAGTGTTCAGAAAGTACTGACAACATCCATGATATACTCTGAAAAGTGTATAATGCCATAACTAGTCACGGTAATGATAGCACATTGTCACACTGCCCACATGTTTGGTTCTTGGATTTAGTTCAAACTGAATGCATTTGCACTGAGCTGGCTTTATATTAATGCAACATCAAACCTTGCGATACTACAACGCAATCAACATAATGGCACTATTGAGGGGATAATCGGAAAGAAAGTAAAATCAATGAGGATTACATACAAATCCACTGGGCACAAGGCAGGCTGAAGTGATTATATGCATCACTCAATTTTCTAAAGCAAACAGGCAAACACAAAACAGTCAGGAAGCAAGGTAGGGTTGCATGTGTGTGTGTGTGTGTGTGCCTGTTTGTGAATGCTGGCATGCCTGAACATGTGTTTATATGCAGCGGTATGAGTATGCGTGTGGGTGTGTGTGAGCTTGCATCTAAACACCGGAATATTTAGGTCTGAGAAATGTATTTGTTTGTTTAAACATATGGACCTAAATAAAGAATTTAAAATGCATCTGTGTTTGTGTGCAGGTGCGTGTATCTGTGTGTGCGTGTCGAGATTTTTGAGTATGTGTGTGTTTCTAAGTTTGCGTGTGTGTGTATGTATCCGTGCTTATCGCAGCTGTGTGATGCGAAGCTGCTGATTGGAGCAGGCATTCCCTGCTGGGTTGGTGATCCTGTTATTTTTTGCTGCTGCTCCCAGTGGAGCAGCGAGTCTGGCGTTGACTCAGACTTGAGAGATATCCCCCCCCACCACTTTAAGCACATACGCTCACCTTTCGTGAGGGCTGCAGCAAACGAGGCCGGTGCCAAGCGCAAATCTGCCACCGCTAACTGGAAGTGATGGACTTAACTGCGAGAGCGCGGGGCCATGAGCACCTGCACGAGGGGGGATGTTTATCAGCAGGCGAGGCTGCGTGCCAGGACAATATTGGGCTGCTTACAGCCATTTCCCTTTCAGGGTTAGTTTCGAGGCACGAAGGGCTGGACAATGTAGTTGAATGAATAAACAAAATGCAAGCAAACTGACTGTGCTCAAGTTGAGTGGATAGTTGGGTTGGTTCAATACTCTGGCTGAGACAAATGTGATTCATAGTCAGAGTTAGATGTACACAATTTTCCCTTTACTGGGTAAAACTTGATTTGTAAATGACGAGGTCCTGGAACACTGAGTAGTGATGGAATCGTCAGGTTGTTGGGGCGGGAGGGGTTCCCGGAACCAAAAAAAGAAAGAAAAAGGTGCATCAGACACGTGAGGTTCCCCCATTATGTTGGTTCTTACAACTAACGAGCATGTTAACAAAGCTCTCAAGCACCAAATATTGTCTTCTAACGCATTAGTAGCTAATACATCAATGTCACAAGCCATTGTTTTTGCTAAGCTCTTTTGAGGAAAGAACAATCACAGCAGTATCAGGCATATTTGTGCATGATAGACATGGAGTTGGTGTTGTTTTTATTACTGTTTCAGTCAGATAAAAATCTTGTAGCTCTATTTTTTTTGTCATTTGAAAATAAATGTGTCATTTGAAAATATCAGCTCTTTACATTTATTTGTTTTCAGACACAATTGATTAGAAAATATTATTATGTTTCTCTTGATTTTTCATTATAGATCGTCATGAATGTATTTAATATTTGAACGAGATCCACTAAAATAGGTGCTGGATGCATTTTGCAAGGTGTCAGACCTGGATCCTACTCGTTCTGGCACAAATTAAGCCCAACCAAATCAGCCAGGACATTCTTGGCATCTTATGCTAGCTTC